TGGCAAGTGTGTGGTGTGCAGAATACACGAGATGTGACGCGCCCCTCCTCCTGCCAATTGGCTTGGTCGGCTGTCGCCGCCCACCGTCTCTCGCCTCTGCCTCCGCCTCTGTGTCCGTTTTCGCGACAGCGCAAGCGAGAAATGCGACGCTGACTTTGCTGCATCCGGCCATTGACCCAAGGGAACGGGAGAAGGGTGAGGGGCGACGAGGCGGCTTTCCTGTTTCTCGACTCTCTCATTGTCACTCCGTCTGTCCCCTTGCGGTCAATATCCTGGGCGGGCTGCCAAAGCTGGCCTCCCTCATGCAACCCAGCCCAGGTAGGTAGGTTGGTACCTACTATAGGTAGGCAGGCAGGTAGGCACCTCCGTTGCGGCGCCGCAGCGGCACAGCCTTGTTTGCCATCTGGGCCCGGTTTGCTCGCCGCAGTCGGCCGGGCTGCCCCGGCCAGATATGCGGTCACTTCGCTCTCTCCCTCTCCGTCGGGTATTCCTCCTTGCACGGCATCTGTCCATCCCCTGTTCTCGTGACCAAAGACTCGGGGTCGCTGATCGTCTGTAGCGATGCGGGGGTTTTTTTTCCGGCGGTGCTGCCTTGCGCTGCCACCGCGACCATGGCCTTCGATCCGCCAGTCGTTGGGTCTTGGTCATGATCGTAACCATGTGCAAGGCACACAGACAGATACAAGGTCCGTGTGTAGGGGCAGGCAGTAATTCTGTGATAGCGAAAGAAAACAAAATTGGGTTCTAGACTACTCGAGGTAGGCAAGCTACTAGGGCGCTTGTATTGGGTTGATACCTGACTCTTGGGGTCCCCCTGTCGGGATTTAGAGTTTGGCTCATCTGAAAGCGAATGAAAATTACATGATCCCTACGACCGATGAGGGGAGGAACCCCGAATGGCGATTAGAGGAGAGGATGGTTCGGGGGGCGTTCGGTAACCCCCAGACTTTAAACTGTGTGTGTATGAGAGAGAGTGTGTGTGAGTCCCTCTTTTCCTTCCTCCCATCCTCGCCCGGACCGACCCAGCGAATGGAGACGCGGGTGCGCTGGCGCAAAATTGGCGCAAAGGCGGGTGCCGCTATTCGCGTTTTAAGACATGCATCGAAGCGCCGACCCGAACGGTCGGGTCGGTCCACTGGCTCCCGTTGCTCGAGAGCCCTGCTGGGATCCACTCCTGTCTCCATCCCGTGGTCTGAGCTGGCATAGGCCCGGCCCCCAAATTCGCTCGGCTGTTGATTTTATCGCGTTTTTATTCATTTCCAACCCTTGCTTTTACCTTTTTCCTTCTCACTAGAACAGCAGCAGCACACCCATTCTTTCAGAGTACGGTACCCGGCATACCAAGGCTTGCAAAACCGTGCTTGCCCTCCTTCATCCCCTGCCTGCCGCAATGCCTTGTCCGGCACCCCGTGCCCGCCCTCTCCTCCCACCTTGTTCGCTTCATCTACCTCTTTTCGTCTTCGCGTCATAAGTGGTGGTGATGGTGCTAGACGTACTACGTAGTGCTGGTGCTGGTGTTAGTGTTTCCCAGCTGCTAGGGGGGGCAGCACACCCTTGCTTCGTCTCCTTGCTTCCTCCGGCTTTTATCCCCCCCCCTCCCCGCTTGTCATCCAACTCGTCGGGCGGGCCGACGATGATCAAAAGACGCAGCCAAGACCGCGACGGCGTCTGTTGCTTGCGTTGCCGGATAGCTGCTTGTGCCCTCTCCAATAAATCCCCGTTCCATGTCCATTCAGATGAGCTCTAGCGGCCAAGTCACCACCACCACCACACACCCCTCCCGATGGACTCGCTAAAAAGGGTCTTGTAACAAGATCCTCGCGTCGGCGTATGAATAATACCACACGAGACCCGTCCGCCTAGGCTACGTGTGGGCAATGTAGTCTCCGTCTCACGGCGGCGGCGGGTTGCGTTGTCCGCAGAGCCCATCTTGACTACTACGGCGGATGCCTTGCAGCAGCAGAAGCAGCGGCAGCATTGACTAGGTACACCGTATTTACCCATTTTTACAACCTGCCTCTGCCAAGCGGCCGTCGTGGTTCAGAATCCGAGCCATCCAACCACAACAGGTCAAGCAATGACCGCCCGTTCGTGCCGTGGAGCCCCATTTCCTGCTTTTGGCATGTTGCTTGTTGTTGTTGCTGTTGTTATTTTCTTTTCCCTGCTTCGCTATACTTTTTTTTCTCCCGCTCCGCTCCTGCTGGCCCACGGCCACGCCGCAATACCACATCACACGAGGTGCCCCTTTTGGACCTAGCGCGTCCCGACAGAATGGATGAAGCGCCGGCGTGCGTCCGAAGGGTTGCGACCTGGCCACGATAGTCGGCCCATTAGTTTACCCTCGCGACCGAGGCCCGGGGGCTGGGCCTTTTGGGTTTGGGGCCTTTGGGCTGGGGAGGGGCGCTGCAGAAATGGGGAGGGGGGCTCAACTGATGAGGGTCTTGTTGCAGAAACGAGACCTGACACCTCTTGGTCGTGACTTGAGATGTTTGGTGCCAGTTCCTCGGGTCCCAGGCGGCAACGTGTGAGTCTGCCTACTCTGGGTACCTTGCACGTCCGCTCTTCCCTGCGTCCTGCCTGGGAGGGTCAGAGGCGCGCCCCAACCATGGTCTCTTGATCGGCCGCCTTCCCCTTTCTCTCTCGACCGTCTGTACCAGTCTACCTTTCCATACCATGACGCATAACATGGAAATAAATACAATCTCTCACTCTGCCATGCCATGATTATGCAAACAAACACATTATTTGCTTCGCCCCTCCCTCCCTCCCTCCTTTATTAGGGTATCCTGGGGCTACCAGCCCCGGCAGGCAGTTGGGTCATCACAGGTGACCACGTCAGTTAAGGAAGCGAGCGGCTATGCGCACTCGACCCTCACTCCCGACGACCAGATCACAAAGACACACGTATACACGCACGCACGCCTCGAGTGGAACTTCTGGGCCCTCTCTCTGTCCTTGTCCCACCGCGCCAACACAGCCGCCCGCGGCTGTTTCTCGCCATGTCTATGGACAGAGAGGCGCGCGGGGCGAGGAGAGGAGAGAGCCGAGCCACCTGACTTTACCGCGCCAACGTACCGTTGCGTGCAGAAACAAGCGCCGCCCGCCCCGCTTGAAAGAAAGAAGGCTCCTCCTGAGTCCTCGATTTTACTGGCGGCCCTGCTAGCTTCCGTCTGTAGCCTTGTTTTGAAGCCAAGCTCGTCCTTGTGGGTGTGCTGATCGTGTACTGATCGTGTGTGTGTTTGTGTGTATGTATGTGTGTGTATGTAACAATGTCCTGGTGCGCTCTAGATATTGTGGGATGGTATATGGAAGAGCGTGGAACAAACGGCGCGATGTGACCGTCACACTCTCCAGTTGGTAGATCTCTCGCCCCCTCCTCCTTGCCGGATGAGCCAGAGAAGCGTTTGAAGCCCCACGAGAGGGGAGTCCAACAGGTAGTGGCAGTGGAGAATTTGTCGGAGGTGCAATCTGTCGGATTGAGGGAAAGCCGGCAAAGGAAGCCAACGATCCCAGGACTAAATACTAGCGTTTGTGGGGCATGTCATGTAACACCACCTCGCACAAAATTGGAAGATGTAAGGCTCGGAGTGCGGGCGATGGTATTTGTCATGCGTCCGATCGATATGAGCGTTTTTATCACAAAGTACTTTGGCAGACGCTGCAGGCCGTCCTCATGTGCCCAAAGGCAATATTACTACTCGGCAATGTAAAAAGAACCCGGTCACTTCGGTCCAGGCGTCCGTGAGCCCCCCAGGCCCAACGGCCCCTTCAAGCCGACCAGGTTTCTCGTCTTGACGGAACGGACTCAGTCTACAGTGCCATCCCCTCGGCCCCGACGGGGTAAGGAAAAACAAGGACAGGCACGACATCGACACAGCACACGCACACAATCTTGGGGCTTGGGGGAGGGGGTCCACAGCCAGCCATCCCGTGGTCCGTGACCCAACACCACCCCCAATCTTGGAAGGTTGAGAGGTGGCAAAATAGATTGCATCACGGGAAAGAAAGATGGGGTTGTGAGATTGCGGTCGCCGATGTTCCATGAGAGGCGTTGGAGCGATGAAGGGGAGAAGAAGCAAAAAAAAAAAAAAGGCGCAAAAGAAGTGACGGCAGGGAAGCACCCTCAAACCCTTCTCGAGATGAGAGTGATTGGATCCTTTCCCGTTTTAATCTCGGGAATTTACGATGGGGTGCAGGAGATCGCTCTCGGTGGCGCCAAGGGGTCAACCTTCAGATTCTGCTCGTTGAGGCGTTGGTTTCGGCCGACAAGTCACCTGTGCCGTTTCTCGTCTCTCTCGTCTGCGTCTTTCCCTGGCCCAGTCCTGCCTGGGCTCAGCCTGTCCCTCCCGATCCCCCATGCTCAGTACTGTGCTGTACTGCCCAACATTCCTTCTCGCTCGCTCGTCGGGTTTTCTTCTGGTGTCGCTGCAGAGTCCTTCCTCTATCCCTGACATCCGTGCCCACCATGTCTTCCGGCAACGGCTCTTGTTCGGGAGGCAGATGGCGCACCCTATTGGTGAGCGGCTTCTTTTTTCTTTTTTCTTTTCCTCTTTTCTTTTGCATACCTTGCGTAGAACAAGCTCCAGCTGGTCATCAAGCTCGGCCACCTTCTTCTCCCTCCCCACATTTCCTTCTTCTTTTTGCCCACATGGATACAATAAGCCAAAAGTAACAGTGGACAGAACAGAGCAGCAAGCATGAATCAAGAGAAGAGTGTGAGGCTTCTTCGTTGAGGTTTGATGAAACAACCAAGTCTCACATGACCGCGATCCTCGGCGCGGAGGCGAACGATCCACCGGTCCACATGCCTTGGACTCGCTGCCCCCCTGTCCTGGGCCCCCCTAGCGCAGGAGACTTCGCGGCCGCAGTGCGCCATCATCTCGGGCGCCCGGCAGAGGTGGCGTACCCGTGAGCTTTTGCTGTTGGACTTGCTGCTGAAGCTTCATCCAAGCAGCAGCAATGCGACAAGGATGGGCGAGCGGGCGAGCGGGAAGGCCTGAGCAGAGTTTGTACTGGGTCAGGTGGCCGGACGATAAACGGCACGGAGAGGCAGGGTCCTGAGGTTGATTCTCTTGCTTTGATCAACCCCCCACCCAGACTTGGTCGCTCGCTTGACGCCTCACTATTGACGATGTAGTAGCTCGCGCACAAGCGAGCCGAGGACAGTCATAGCCGCGGGCCAATGACCTTGCGCAGACAGGCAGCGCGGGTGATTCCAGCGCCCAGCCAGCCATACAGTCAGCCGGCGGCTCGTGGGTTTCTGTCCGGGAAGATGGAGCGACGGTAGCCGTCAGGGACCCAGCCATGCCTGACCCCGTCACAAGTACCAGGCAGCATCCTACCCACCCGCTGGAGACTCGGGAAGGTCGACACGGTCCAGCAGCAAGCCTCCAGGCATATTTACGGTAGGGTAGGTACCCGCACAAGGGTTACTGGACGGTCATATCATGTACTGTAGGTACTGACTGTGCGTACCTCCACCGCCCAGCATGGCTGATCTCCCAAGGCCAGGAGTTCTTCCAATTATCACGTACAGTACCTTCTCTGCTCTCCACCCTTCCCGCCCTGTCATCACTACCGTTTTCCCTGCCCGTCTCTACGATTTCCGCGGGAGGGTTCTCACCCACCCACCCTCTTCTCATCCGTCTCACCCACACACTCGCGCCCGCACAGCCACCTATCTCTGTTCCCGTCGAGCCGATGATTTTCCCTGGCGCACTCTCGTCCCTCTGGTCTCTAGTCCATGAATACCACCTGGGGCACACCCCGGTACCTGCCTGGAGTCAATCCCTGATGAGCTTTCCCATGTCTCGTGCTGTCCGCGCGTTCTCGACGGGGAAAAAAGTACAGGTGAAAAAAAGGGAGCCATCAAGGAGGTTGCGGCCCACCTGTCAAATTTTGCCGCTCGCTTGCTATTCTGATTTCCCCCAAAGTCATTCCCACCCCGCGCCTTTTCCTTGCCCTCTCTCCTCTCCGTCATCTCAAGCCGGGAGAAAAGGCAACATAGAGAATCTGTCCGCCGGTCACCCTCATCCTCAACCTGCAAGGGGAGCCACGCTAGTCGGTCGTCGGTCAAGCAGGACTCGGGAGGCCTTTCTGTAGGGAGCCGATTGTTTATTTTCGGCACCTGCTCAAGCGTGTCGACTGCGTCTTCCAAGCTACGGACTAGAAATCCTTGCATCGTGCATGTGCCGCGTAGGGCTAAGTCATAGCGGCTTATCTGCGGTAGGGGGAACGAAGGGTGTGGGCGCACACTCTCTTGCGAGTGTGGTGATGGTGGTGGTGGTGGTGTGTAGGCAGGCAGGCAGGCACCCTCGCTCAGGTGTCGAATCAGGCACAGAACTCTTCTCAACGGCTCGATGGCTCCGAACCGCATAATGGCTAGAGGGTGGGAGGGACGGGCAGGCATGCATTGTGGAGGAGGCGCTGTCCTCAGAGCCCAGAGCCCAGAACCTTGCTGCCTCACCCCCTGCGCCTCTCCCGACGGGCCCAGAGTTTCCAGAGCCGTGTCATCGACCACACCGCAATGTCCACGTAGCACACGAAGGAGGCTTCCTGAGCCACCAGCCATGCGCTCAACAGTGTTCTACCACTGCTTCATCTGCAGAGGTCGGAGGGCGAGTGAGCCACTTGGAGACGACCGAGGCGCTGATCGCCGAACAAGGGAGGCATGGGGCTAGCAGCTGGGAAACGACCCGTACTCTATCTTGGTCTTCTGCCTGACAGGAGTAAGGTGGGTACCTACGTATTCAAGGAGTAGGTTGACGTGGTACGTCCGTAAAGTCTGTTGAGGCGAGCTCAAGGGGGGCAGCAGAAAGAGGGAAAGCGGTTAGAAACTGGGCACCAGCAGAAAGCCCGTGCCTGCATTAGGCGGAGATGAGACGATGGCTTACCTTTTTAGACGGTGGGAACGGGGCGGGCCCAGCACCACTCGTCGTCCTTGATTCGCTCAAGAAGAGTCAAGGTTGAGCAGAAGACGACAAAAAAAAGCCCGCAATAATGGCCGCCGACCTATGAAGCGTCCACATATCGGTCGGGATCAGGGGACTGCCGGCGAGCGGGCGGGCGGCTGCGGCACGACACTGAAGTGGTGCTGGGTGGGCGAGCGCCACAAAAGAAGATTACAACAAGACGAAGGAGTAGGGGACTTGTCGTTGTGCACTGCCCCGAGGAGGGCCAACCGCAGTCGACATTACACGCCCGCCGCCGCGGCTTGATGGGGAAGATGGAGGAGGAGGAGGGAAAAGGGAGGGGGAGGTAGAGAAACGGAGTGGTGTGTCGAGCAAGCGCCGCCTGATGCCACGTCTCTCTCCTTGGAGGGAGGGAGGGCATGTGCTCTGGTTGGACGAGCCAGAGGCGGACAGACGCCATGCGGAACCACCACATACAAACCGTCTGGATTAGCCGCTGCTGCGACGATAGACGCGAGGGGTTGGCGGGACTTTGCACGGCAGGCAAAGCCCGCTCTGCTGATCGGGGCGACAGCAACCTCCACCCGCATGCGAGTGAGACCGTCGCCGGCAGAGACGGGTACCGTGCACACTCAACACTCCCTTTGTCACTCTGCGGTGGTGGTGATGGTGGGCATCGTGTCCACGTCCCCCGCCCCGGTGCGCCACGGTGGATTTATTGACAGGACAAAAAGACGGCAGGAGCATTGACCGCAAGTCATGGATGGCCATTCACAAAATACCCCCCTGCTGGCTAGGTGAGTACCTAGCTAAGTACCTAGGTAAATGATAGGCAGTCTCGATCTTGGACATCGACTCTAGCCGACAAGGTCCGCCTATAGCCGGGACATGGCCTAGATGACAAGGGGAGACCGGGCCTGGACTTCAGAGTGATCACCAGGAGCGTGTGTTTGTAATGTCGGCTGTTGGTCGACGGGCGAGATCTGGATTTTCTTTTTTGATGAGGGTGATTTCCCACAGGAGGGTTGCCCTCAGGCAGTCCTGCGGCGAAGCCACATAAGGCGGCAACCTAGGGAGCAGATGCTCGAAACGGGCTGGTGCTCAGGGGAGGTCACCACCAACCTTGGCTTTTCACCACTTCGAAACTCGTGACGGGAAAGAAAAGACGTACGTCGAGCGTAGAAAAGAGACATGTGATGGATAGCATCCGCAGCTGCGCCGAGTCCATGACGGTCCTGTCCGGGGGGGTTTTTGCAGGTAAGCAGAATGTGGCGTATCGGTGCCTGCCTGGGTCGTCGATGAGGTGCAGCAGCAGCTGAGCCTCGGCGGCCATTTGGGCGACCTGCATACCTAGGTGCCAATCAAGAACATCCCCCCACATATTCCCAACCCTACCTACTCCAGAGGGCGGCCGTCCTGACCGGCCGCCGTGGCCAAGCCCCGGACGAAGCACCGGGTCCGGGGGAGGACGTCGGGGCAATGGCTGCGGGGCCCAGCGCAAGATCCCCGCGTCCCAAGGCATCCCGCAAGGCCGACTCTCTCCCACCGCCGCTTCGGGGTCCCTGGCTAGGCAGCTATCAAGAAGACGGCCGGATGGGCCAGTGGAAAAAGTAGCCTCGTCTGGACCGACTGAGATACCGCCAGGCTGAGCTGGCTGGCTGGCTGTGCGCGTGATATGTGTGTCACTTCAATACTGTCTGCCGCATCAAACTTGCTGCCTACTCAGGTGCCTGCCTGCCCGCCAGTCATGAGCCTTGGCGCCGAGATGGCTGGGCCCATGAACGCATTCGACAAGAGAAACTGTTAGAGTGCTGAGTCTCCAACCGATTGAATCGCCGCCAACAATCTGGGTATTATGACAATCAATCACATCCATCAGACATTTGTTCAATAACGGCATCCAAACTTCCGTTCCTGAGACGCCTAAAGCTAGAGATGCGCCCGTGGTAGCCAGCTTGTACCGAATACTTCCAGACCTAACCAGACTGCGTGTAAAAAAAAATGTCTAAGGAATGTATCAATACATCACCAACGCCCGCAGCCCGTGGAATGTGAGATGTGTGTGTGTGTGTGTGTGTTTTTCTGCCCCTCGTTAGCCCTTGCGTCGGACACTACGGCGGAATGCCATGTGTATAAACTTTCGGCATCGATTGACCATGTTGCCCCTCAAATCAAACGTCGGGCGGGGGAAAAAAAGAGAGACGCCACCACGGATAAGTCCGACGAGGCTGGCTGGTGGCCCTTACCATGATACCCCGCTGCCGCCGCCACGGCCTCGCCGTCCAACAAACGTTCCCTCCCTCCTCCCTCATTATCATCGCTCCGATCAGCCCCATCAAGATGACGAGAAAAATAGGTTGCTGCGCCGGCTCTCGATAGGAAGTCCAACGACCTAACCAGGAGCTTCCCCCAAACTGCTATACCTCATGGGGACTGACAGAGCAAATCCGGGACCGCGGCCGTCCGGGACCGATTCGCCCTCAAATCGCGACGAATTGTCCCCGACGCGGCGCTACTGCAGGGTTTGGACAGTGGGTGTTTGTCGTGTGTGCCACCCACCCACCACACGCAACCTGACTCGCCCTTCCCATTCTGGAAATTGGCTGGGGTTGGTGCGTGGGAGGTGGTGGAGAGGAAGTCATCATGTGCCGCATGCCAGAGACAGCACCAGGTATCAAGTCACAATCTTGGTCGAGACCGGCGAACGAGAAAAGAAGAGGAAGAAAAACTAGCGCCTGGTGAGGGGCAACCATTCAGTCTAGCGCGCGCCTTTCTTAGCCTTGGTCCATCAATAGCGGCAGCATGGCGACCGAGATCCAAATGCAACCTAGAAGCTGTGTGTGGCACACCCAAACACAATAGACTTTCCCTCTCGTATCCTGTGCTTTTTATTCCCACGCCACGGCAGCAATGGAAAGCAGCGTCCCGAGGAAGCGGAACCCTAAAATGGCGCGAGGTGACAATGCAGCTCGTCCGAACCAAACAAGACGCTCCGTTTCCGTTCTTCAGCTTTGCCGCAATATCATACCCCACCCCTGATCCCCGCAAGAAGGTGCGAGTGTGAGGTTCCTGGGTAGTCAAGTGCAACATGCTCACACACCCCGTCTGGTGATAACGGAGGCGGCGGCGCTGCCGAGTCGGCCGTTGGCCGTCCCTACTCATCTCGCTGGGCGAGCCAAGGTTGAAAAGCGTGGGGGGTGTGTTGCTGGTGGGCTGGTGGAGGGCGTGAGGCCATCGCGACAAAACCCATGTTTTTTTGTTCACATCCATCCTCGTGCTTGATCCCTCCAGAAATAGAAGAATATTACCAACAGGGCTCGGGATCTGTCCCAAGCCCGGGAAACCCCCGACCTCGCCGGCGCGGACGCTGGATACGGTAGCACTGGCCATGCCGCCCAAGTGGCGCATGCAGTGGACACGATGAGATCGCCAGCTCCATCACAGAGCAGCAGCGCCGCATCGCCGGCCAACGGGCAATCGAGCCCTGGCACTGCCTTGGCGACCCCATGAAAACAGCACGCACGTAACGTCGCAGGGGGCCTCTTCCAAGGAACTGGGTAAACATAAACGCGCCTTGCAACAGCGGCACGCATTACTATCACATTGATTTATTGCCACATGCCCATGCTGGATATCCGCTACCCATCATGACGCCGCCTCCGCCCAGATGACCTGTACTCGCTCGCAGCCTACAACGTTGCGGAAAGTCTGCCCAAGGACCGCGAGCCGACAAGAGAGGATATATAGTGTTGGGAGAAATTAGGTAAAGGGGAGGGGTATTCGTTCATTTTTCAAGCGCAAACATTCAGAACAAACTATTTGGGATTTGGCCACCACCTGTCGGCGGGTCGTGGCAGTCGTTTAGGAAACTCCTGAGAAGTCACTTGGTCCAATGCCGTCGTCGCTGCCGTGTATCGTGTGGCTACCTGGTTCATTGGCATTAGACCAAGCCGGCTCCTAACCTTCAAGTGCCTGGACGGTGCCAAACGCGTATGGGAAGTCCATGAGGTTATCGAGCATCCAGTGTTGTGGGTCGAAGAAGTCGTAGGCATTTGCGTTCGAGTCGTAGGCAATAGCTCCCAACATGGAGCTCTGTCCGCCGCCTCCAAGGCCCGAAGCGCCCAGAGGCGTCAGACCTCCGGCCGCGGCGCCGCCACCGTTGGAAGGCCCACCGAGGAGGTTCGCTGGCAGCCCGTGCGAGGGCGGCACCAAGGTGCTGTCGAGATGTGTTGATGATGCCGACGACTCGTTTGCCGAATCTGGGTTTGTAGGATTTTTCAGTGCTGTTGTTCGCAGCCAAGTCAGTGGATCCCGCCATGCCAGCCACCGGGCTCGATGCCAGTGGCTCCGAGAAAGAACAAATAATAAAAGACAAGACATTGCGGGCATCCTCACCATCCAGGGAGCCTCGGCCACGAGCCTCGTACTCCTCTCTCCAATGCCATATTGAGTCGAAAACTAGACTCATACTGTGTCTGCAGCGAACCTTGAGTTGCAGGCTGTCATCGATATGATCCTGGTCGAGGAACGACTGGTCCACTCGCGCTCCATTCCACATCTGCACCATCAGCTCCGCCAGCCGCCAGTTCAGGTCGTTTCTGGTGACGCTGGTGGCCCGAATCGCCTGCACGGTCCGATGGAAGAGCAGGCGCCCGCGGTCCATAATGATTTTGGCGAAGAATGACCTCATGAGCTTCAGAAGTACAAAGCCGGCGGCCACCAACATTTGCTGGATGTAGTTTGTCGCGTATTTCAGCAGGTCGTTGTTGCTGCCCTGATCCGAAGGCGTGGCGTCCATGTCGCCGTCTATGACAAATTCCAGAAAGCTGGTGGTGGAGGTGTACAGCTCCTTCAGGTCGTCCAGGTATGAGGGGGTCTTGCTGGAATCAAAGAAGCCAGCAAGGCGCAGGTGGAGCCCGGCTGCCTTGAGGTGTAGGTTCACAACGGGCGATAGGCTCCGCGAGAGGATGTTGGCGTTGAGTTCATTGAACTCGCGGCGGAAAACGCGCATGAGGATGGCGCGATGCTCGTCACCGGCCACCCCTCTCGGGTCGCTTGCGTTGCTGTACATCTCTTTGGAGACCTTGTCACAGAACCTCTCGACCTGGAGCCGAGCCTCGAGCTCTGCCGAGAGCTGGAAAGGTCCGCTGTCGCCTGGCCTGACCGCGAGGGTCCAGTCGTACAGGGTCGAGGCAGGTTGGCCGTAGCCCGTCCCGATCGTCTGGGCCACAATATTGCACACAGCCCAGGTGCTGACTCGGTCGTGCAGCTGCTCCTTATTGAGCTGTACTGGCACTCTGGAAAAGTCGTTGATGTGCATGGGGCGGTGCAGGCCGATTCCGGTGGCCACTTTCATCATGACGCCGCCCAAAATGTGCGTGGGATCCGCGGAGCTTGTGCTCGTGGGGAGAGGCCAGGTGCAGAGAAGGCAGAGGGCCTTGACGGCACAGTAGTTGCCCGGCACCTCTCCGATAGTGGTCCATAATAGCCTTGTCAGGGGCCGGGAGATGTTGCCCAGCAAGGTTGGATCGGGCTGATACCTCCTTGCGGCAACCGACACTATGGTCCAGTAAAGGAGGCTGTTCTGCTGGTAGTACTGCTCGGCAGTCTGCTGCGGGCTGAGGAATGGGAGCAAAGGGTGATAGCAGCGAAAGAACTCGTCAAACAGCTGTGCCTCGGCGTCCTCGGTGAGCTGGACGTCCTCCAGGCTTCGGACGATCCTTGGGATGGCATAGGAGCCACCCCTCTTAAGGTGAAGTAGCGACGAGACGGCCTCATCAGAGCCCATCAGCGACGGGTTGCGTGTGTGCGTGTATGTGCTGTTGATGACAGGCGACTGCAGCTGCGAGTGCATGTCCTCGTCGTCCTCAATGAACCCCGCCGCGCGTGCGCGCTGCACTACGCGACGCAGCATGTCGATCTCCTTTTCCATCTCGGCATGTTTGCTACGCTTCCCGACGCGTTTGAAGTTGGACTCGATCTTGCACTCGAGTTTGAGCCGACTACATCGGGTACACCCCTGGAACGGCTCTTGGACGACATCGCAACGCAGCTGGAGTGGCAGAGACAAACATGTGTGGTCAGCAAGACTGTTTATCCAAGCCCACACCGACGCTAGCAGGAGGAGGTGCAAGAGCAAGAGCAGGACGGGGCGACCCGGGCGGCGGTGCCGGCTTCTCGCTGACTCACCTTTTGTTGGCGGCATTCGTTGCACGCCCGCTTCACACCGGGCTGGCGCTTCCTCTCGTGGTGATCGCCGTGCTCGTCGTCGGCGCCGGGGCTCTCGGGACTGCTGTCCATGGTGCTCGCCATGTTGCCGACGCTCCGCTTCCTCTTAGGACCGCCATTGGCCCCGACGTGGCTCCGTACGCTGACGGGGCTGGTCGGGCTAAGCGAGCCGGCGGCGCCGGAATCCATGCCGACGGCCGACGACGTGACGCGCGGGCGGGATTGGCGCACCCGTGCCGGGAATAAGGGCGCGCAATGACTCCGAGGGGCAAGCTTTGGGGGGCCAGACCGGGCACGGAGCGGAGGGCAGTCCTTTTCCGATTAATTCTTTTTTTTATTCCTTACTTTTTTCCTTTCCTTTTTTTCCCCGCTCGACCTTTTTTCCCCGTGTCCACCTTCCCAGTCTTCTGGTACCGTTGGCGCTTGGGACGGAAAGCGATTCCAGTGGATTGATTAGCAAATTGGCATATGTACAATGGTGGATGCCATCTGAGTGCCTTTGCCTTAGCCAGGGCGCTTCTGGGCGCCGGTGTCGCGATGCGCAAACGTGGCGGGTGTGGTTTGGAGCAGTGTCAAACGGGCGGCTGAATCAAAAGATTGTTGGGCGATGATCCGACTACGGAGGGGGGAGGGGAAGTTCGGTCAAGCCATTTGATCAATCAGTCAAGCGAAGGGCGGGAGGCGGCGCGCGACCTACCTTGGGTACCCGCTCTAGCAGGTTCCTGGCCCTGGCCACCAGCTGCGAGCGGCTCCCATCCCCAATGGTGCCTGACTCGACGCAGAAGCGGGGTCGCAGCCTGGAGATCGCGTGCCCTGGTTGGCTGCCCACCGTCGCATTACGTTTGGCAATCACGTGTGAGATGCAGCCGGCCTGTTCCAGCCACACTTTTGCGCCGCCTTGGCAGCGCCCGCACTCCACCGTCTTTCCCCGCCCGCTATTTCTTGATGCAGGCAGTCCGACAGCAGGCAACGGTAGCCCGCAGCCAGAAGTGCCAGAGAGCACGTCGGCGGCCCAGGCTTTTCTCCGATTTGCCTTCGTCTGTCCTCGGCCTGCATCCGCTCGACTGCCTGTGCTGCAGTGCTCTGCGCCCGGAGCTACGGCTTGCCGCATTAGTAAATCCCGTCGTCTCATTTGCTGCCCGGCCATAATTACTGTGCTCGGGAAGCCGAAGTCGACTGTCGACCTGCAACCTGCACCGTCTCTGGCCCACCAGCCTGCACGCTGCGAGTTGGGCACAGGGTGGCTGCGGAAATGACTTCAGGCATTGAGAAGCGGAGGCTTGTGAAGGGGCCCCTCAGGCCACCACCCACCAGCGGGTCAAGGCCGTCTTCGTACACGCAGCCATTGACTGCCAAAGGAGAGGTTTCTCTCAAGCAAGAGGGGCCGTCCAGCCTCTCCCCCGGCGGTATGTCGCTTTTACTATGTCCAGCCGCACGAGTCCGAGCCCCAGTCAGCTCATCGGAATCGACTGCTGTCGTTTAGATACAGTCGAGGTTGTCGAGATGAATTCCAACCTTTTGCCACAGCCATTTGTCGACCCGTTTGGCACCGCAATGCCAGGCCGCCGCGGCTAAAGTTCAGTTTCGCCGCTCTCGTCCTGGATTGAAGCCACGGGAGTATCCACCATGAGCGTCAGGAGACTCAGCCCCACCTCGGCCGCGGCCAAAACGGTCGTCTCGCCGTCATTGTCATAGACTGGTGCGACTTCAACGACGTCGGCGCCGACCACGGGCAGACCGGTCAAGCCGTCGAGGATGGTGAGCAACTCGCGGGTCGACCACCCCCCGGGCTCAGCTGTGCCAGTCGCCGGCGCAAAGGCGGGATCGAGCACGTCGATGTCTGCCGCTGTTAGTCACCAGCCTGGTTGGCTTTATCGGGATGGCAGAGGCTTCTCACCGATGCTGATGTAGACCTTTGAGTCACCGACCCTCTCCTTGATGTGCGAGATGACACCGTCTACGCCAAGTTTGTCAAGGTCCCTGGCCGTGATAATAGCAAACCCGCATCGGACGTCGTTTCGAATGTCCCCCTTTCTTCGTATCACAGGCCCACGAATCCCGGCGTGGATCGAAGTGTTTTTGATAAGACCTTCCTCATGGGCAATATGCAGGAATGTCCCATGGTTTAGCCCGCTGGTGTCGCCCTGCACTGTCAGTCGGCACGGGCAGAGGGATGCCTTGAGAGATAGAATTCGACTCACGCATAGTCAGATATCCCACCGCCTTTCTCGATATCTCGTCAGTTCGTAGGTTTTCACTCGGTCTTGCTGTATAAGTCATATGGGATCCAACTTACCTAAGACTTCGGGATCCCAAGTGTCTGAGTGGATGGTTGTGTTAGCCAAGCTAGACAAATCGCCAGGTGCTGCAGGATTCCATTTTGCTTACCGATGTGCGAGTCCATGTGAATCACCGATACTTGGCCGAACCGCTGATAAGTCGATCTCAAAGCCGAGAGGGTTGTCGTGTGGTCGCCCCCGAGGGTCAAGATTCGGGGTGTCTTGGACACCGAGACATTCGACGCAACTCTTCCAGAGACGACCTGCGGGCCAACTCGCGAAATTTTTGTTCAGCAGCCCATCTCTACCAGGCACGCGGGGTGGTGGATCAAGCACTCACTCGATGGGCCTTGTCGAGCTGCTTCAGCGCAACATTGTTGTCGAGCCACGTCATGGGCACGTCTCCGCAGTCGACCAGTGTCGCCCAAGAGTCCGCCATGCCCTTGCCTAGGTAGGCCGTAGCCGAAGGGGGTCAGCAAGCGCACAGTAGCATCGCGAGACCAGCTACCAACGCAGCAGTGCCGAAAACGCACCCGTGTAGACGCTCCAGGTGTCCAGCAGCGACATCCTCTGGCTACCGATCCGGATCCCGGTGGGGCCGTAGCGCGCCCCTGGCCTTCCCGTCACGGTCTGGCGGCGTCCCTGTTAGTTAAAACGGCGCCCCGTGTGCCACTGCAGGCGTTAGGGAGGCAAGCGGGGAGAAGGACAGCGCAGCGAGCCGGGCGGCCTAATGCGACATACTGACCGTATCGTGCGGCGCGCCCATGATGGCGATGTCGTACTGGTTCCCCTTGGCGGCCGCCTGCTCGTCCGAGAAGCAGTTGACGTAGGGTAGGTTGGCAAACGTCTTGAGGCCGTGGAACTGGCTCCCCTGGATGATGTCCACGTCGTCGTCGCCGCCGCCGCCTTGCGGGTGGATCGCCCCGGAGTCCTGTCGCAGCGGTATTTGGCGGCTGGCGGGGCTGGGGAACTCCCAAGCTGCTGCCAGCCCCCGCGCCAGCAAGGGGATGGCAAGAAGCCGGGTTCTAGGAGGTTTCATGGCGGCAGGCCGGGGAAGGGGACTGGCTATTATAGTGGCCGGGTTTGGATGAGCTCACTGGTTGGTGACTTCAATATTACGGTATTTGAGCCTACCCGTAGCTATCAAACTTGACCGAGGTAGATTGGTCCCTGCTAGGATACTACCAGGCCAATCAAATGTTCCCAAACGGGCTACCGCTTGCTGTGTGTCTATGAATCAGCCCATCCCATGCATCCCAGTAGCAGCACCCAATTGGTCAAAACGTAAATGACCTCCACCCGACCTTATCCGACTACGAAGCTGAGAAATCCGAAAATAAGCACCGGTTGACAAAAAAATAAATGAGAAACCTCTCGCATTTGTCCTTTTTTATCTCGAATATTTGCAGCTGAAGATTCCCACCAGCCCCGAGCAGTGTGCTTCTATGAAACTTCAGGAGACCCGAAAAGGGAAAAAAATGAAGAGGAATCAAGAAGATGGTAGAAGCGGGTAGGAAAGGGAAATGTAGGAAAAAAAAACATGCCACGTTTAAAAAGGCGCAGATGCAGATATCGGAGCAGAATCAGCATCAAAGTAAAAGTAGGGGAGGAGTGAGTAGAATCGCAAGCAGAAACAAGGCGGAATTCGGCTTAGTAGCAGAAGTTGATGAGTGCTAAGCATCACCGGCCTCCTCAGATCCAGTTGCGTCGCGAGACGGCGTCGGCCTTGGCTTGGGTATAGCCGTCACAGCCACCGCAGGAGCAGAAAAAGCCGTATTGCTCGTACAGCGTGCGTGGGTAGGCGCCGTAAGATATGGTGAGCTCGTCGCCAGCGCTAATGTGGTCGACGGCCACGTAGATAACCAGCATCTCGCTTTCGCTGTCGTAGTAGTACGTTAGGTTGCACTTGCTGTGGCACTTGTGGTTGAACCTGGACGCGACCAGAAAGACGGCTTTGCTGCCGGGGATGCTGAAGCTGCAAGCGGAGAACATATTTAGCTTCAGGGGATAGCGTAAAGCAAAGTCAAGAGCAGTTGGATTCGGACTTACGAGTTGGTGTTACAAATAGCAGTGAGGATTTCTACTGGCTGTTCGTCCCTGGGCCAGTGCGGATGCAGGCAAAGGTATACTCGCTGGGCGATGGCGTCGAGTGCGGCGAACTGCTTGTGCATGGTAAGTCCGTCGCCAGTGAGGATGTACTTTTCCATTAGAATGACGTCATGAAGCTTGAGGTCCTTGCGAGCAAAGGCTCCGGAGCCGCCCATGGACGCGTTCCGGACTTCGAATTTCTCGTTAATGGGTACCACAAGTGGCAAGTCGATCTGCGCGGTGTTGGCTTCGTGCTCATTCTCCTCTCCATCTTGGGCTACCTCTGTCTCCTCGACAATACTGTCGTCGGGAGTGGTGTTGGTGATGGACGCCGCATCGATGTCGGTCACAGAAGGAGTCTCGGCGTTGATGATAGACGCAGCGTCGCTGTCAGTGTCAGAAGCAGTCTCGGTGCTGATTATAGACGCAGCATCGCTGCTGACGTCTCCCGGTGCCTTGAGCTCAGCGCTGTTTCCAGCTGCGTCAACGCTATCTTCTCTGCCGACGACCTGACCAGACTCAGACTTTGCACTTTGGAGAGGCTGAGAGGGCTGGGCTCCGTTGCCATCTTGATCGCAGCCCTTGCGGTCTTGTGCCGCATCCTGCTTGCCCTCAAAGTCACCTTCGATGGTGGTGCTGTCACTGGCATCGGCGTAATCGTTGCCAGTGAGGTGGATCTCAGCAGTTTCTGGGGCTTTGTTCTCGGCCTCGGCTGAAGCGCCACCCGTGGGCTCGTCACCGATCTGGCAATCATCACCGTGGTCTTTCTTGGAGAGCTCGAGATCGACCTGGTTCTCCGGGCGTAAGAGGTATCTGATCGATTCTCCGGGAGGAACCTGGGACAGGCCGAACTCCAGAGATGACAAGTAGGTACCCTCGAGGAGCCGATAGTCGACTGGCTCCATGTCTTCGTGAGAGACGACTTCCTTGCGCTGTCCGCTGGGGCGCGCCATGGCCCCGGTTCTATCCAGGCGAGGGCTGGCGTTGGCGCACTCGTCGTCGGTTAGTTTGTCAGAGTAAGAGGCTGATGAGGCTTCGGACAACTGGGCGGTATTTATCGTGTTAGCAAATAAGACTTTGATACCGTCAAAGAGATCAGCCTCGTTTTATCGCTTGGAAACTCACAGAATCCGGCAAGCCGAATGCCTTCTTAAAAGCGATCCAGATCTCAAGATCGGCCGCAGTGGGCACGATGGTAGAAAGGCTGGCCATTTTCAAGGCGTGGATAGCAAAAGCCGACGTTAGCCACGGTTGTTGTGGTTAAAGGTTGTGAAAGTGGAGGAGGCAGGTAGCTTGGGTGGTAGATATATATATTTGGGTAGGGGTAGGTTCTCTAGAGATAAGATAGGTATCGCGCTAGTGCGTCGAGAGTTGAGAGTCGGGGCGGGATATCAAAAGGCCGGGCAGAGGCGAGAGAAATATGCATATTCATGGAAGCCACGCCCAGCTGGCGGCAACCAAGAGGCGGCATAAATTCGTAAGGGAAAAGGAGTAAGCACGTAAGGAATAGGGAAGGGACCTATGTGCTGCTTTCACCATAAATGGCTTGATCTTGCCAGCGTAATAGCAACATCTGGCAGGGGAGCATGCTGATGGGTGAGATTGGAAGGTATCCCGTTTTCTGCATAAGAAACAGGGCCTTCAAACGGGCTCTGCTTCGCAGCTACGTTTTCGAAAGGTCAGGGAAGTGACTTACCGTAACTGCCGGGACCGACAGCGCCAAAGCAGAAACGAAGAATGACGAAGGAAGAAGGTTGGCTTGAAAGAATCTTATAATGGGGGTAGGTCGGGTTTTATACAGGGGCTCAAACCCGCTTACGTGCAATTGTGGTTACACGAATACCCACAAAAGCGCATTGGTGGTACCTTTTGTAGGACAAAACAGTGCTACTGCAGCAAGCCGAATAGGGGACTATGGCTTGGACTGTTCGTATCGTGGCGGTGGACAAAGCGGCAGTAGGAACCAGGTGTGGCCGGAACATAGAAGGTACCAAAAATGATATGATGGCAATGTGTACCAGATTCTAGGTTACACACGTAACTGGCAAGAGGCCAGCCAGCTCCAGCTTCCCTCAGGGAGCACTCTACTTGGGCAGCTCCTGCTTCCCCGATAGAGAGCGCTGTACTCGAACAACGCGTCCGAGTGATGTTAGCTCCACGGTTCGGTGTCGAGAATCTGGTAGGGACGTGGCTGAAGGTAATAGCCCGCAGGGATCTGCTGAGGGATCTGCCGCCGCTCGATAAGGCCCTGAAGAGCGTGGAAGTCATGACAGGAGTGCTGTTCGCTGGCCAAATCTGGGCCTGGTTGCGGATCTGACCGGTTCCACCAGAGTTGGCCACGCACCCCGAGGTCGGCCCGGCAGATCAGCTGTCGATGGATAGTTTGGAGGCAGTATGCTTCGAATATAACTGTCAGTCAGTAGGATTGCCTTGTGCGTTTTCCCCAGGGGGAAGCTCTTGCCTAATTTTGACTTGGAGTGATGTGTCTGGCAGTGAAGCGCCTCGTGTATTTTGTTCTGGGTTCGAGCGGGGTGGTCAGATTCCATTTTATCCAGTATTTCTTATGAACGAAGACCGCAGAGGCAGTACTTACCAGGCATTCTAGGTGGCCCACTCCCAGAATATCGACGACGTATCCACCGCCATGCGCTTCTGAGACCTGGACGTGATCTCTCCCGAGGCCAGCTGTCACGCCTTCAGCTTCAGAAATCACAATACTTCGGACTATCGATCCCCATTTGTTAAGTTGTTTTTCTTCTGAAAGGGGTGAAAAGCACACAGCTGCTCCCTACAGATGGCTCCAACTGAACCCCAGGTGGGGTCGACGATTGATCCTGGCCACTGCAAGGAAGCTGTCCCTTGAGAAATGCCGGCTTGGAATCGTGTTTTCAAGGGCCTCAGTTCCGTGCCAAGGAAAATGGACGGTGCTGATCTCGTTGCAAAGAATCTGTCAGCACTGCTAGGCGCTAGCCTGGTCTGGGACGGGGACTCGTTCAAAGGCAAGCACATACGTTCCAAGACCTTGATGTGACCATTCCTACAGACGAAGATGCCGGCAACCGTGCCAATGATCAAGCCGGCTGGGAAGTTCCAAAGAAGCAAGCGCACGATGCAAAATAGCTTCACAAAAAAGGCTTTGGTGCAGTCGACCACTTTACCTCCAATTCCCTCGAGAGGGTGGCCATCTCTGTAGGGCGGGAAGGTGCTGTAGCGGCGCGGGTCACCTTTCAGTGGCCACGTCAGGCTACCGCGCCAGGGGTATCTGAGCGGAACACCAGGCATCTCCTGTGGGCGAAGTCCTGTAGTTTGACGCGACCAAGGGTGCAAGGCGACCAGCGAGTAGGTAGGTAGGTAGGTAGGCAGTCAAGTGGATGATGAAGTCTGGGCAGGAGTTGGACGGGTTGGGGCAGCTGATACCTGACAATACCATTCGGCTTTCAAATCGGAAAGACAGAAGTTAGGGGGGATTAGACGTGACGGGAGAGTACTTTATAGCTCGATGAGAGGCTTTGTTTTCTGGACCGCCAGCCGATACGTCCGAGGACGACCTTGGAGGCTGACGAGACAGCGCCGGTAGGAACACGTGGACTTGCTTAGAACAGCATGTAAAACCTCGCGGCCGGAAATTCACCCAGAGAATCCGGCAGTGGCTCGTTGTGTGTGACTGCAACAACGCGACGCGAGGCCCAATGACCCTAAAGTATGACGGTGGGAAGCACCGCGTCATGCAAGTTGCTGTTTTGTTGCTGATGGATGGAGATGCCCAAAAGCGGTAAACGAAATCTTTTTGGAAAGTCAAGGAGCTACCTACCCCAGTGTGCTCCTTCCTTCGAGCATGATGCGCTCCACGCCACTGATAAAAGAGCGCCGAAACAGGAAGGTGTGCCTTCTCAGTTGAGTGTATACGCGGAAGGCAGTCGAACCACCTGGCTCGGATGGAACCCCAACAATTCTCGTGGGTACGCTGTTCTCGTCGCTCCAAGCAAAACACCCCAAGACACAATCGTACAAATTCGCTTTTTGATCGCCGCCCCTCTTTGCCGACGTTGCTAGCCTCGCGTTGCCCTGCACATCGTACACCCCAACCTTTCCGCGGGAAAAGTCTCGGAAGAAAGCCACCTGAGCAGCTCCGCTGGTGAATCTTCGGCTGGTGGTTGTGCAACCCCCTTGCTTGACGTATGTGTCTACCTGCCTAGGTACCTACCTAGGTATCTATATACCTACTCATCGGCGGTGTCTCTCGACAAACCCGCAATCACCTGCCAAGCCCTTCTTGTGCCTTTCGTTGCGAGCAAGACAAAATGTTTGCCGAGATAGGGGCTAATCATGGTGGCAAGAAACAGTTGACCTACCGACCCCTCGGCATTCTGCTCCTCGGCCAACCTGCGACCATGCATCATCTCGCCTTGATCGTGACCACGGGTGCTGTCCTTGCACTTGCTCTCCCTCGCGGCAGTTCGGGCTCGTCCCGCGATATCGGCAATGTCGAACTCGACAACCTCGACGCCGCCAACTACGGCGATTACGGCGACTACGGGAGCTATGGCACGTATGACAACTACGACGCCATCATCGGTGGCGAGCCTCCTGTGCCTGCCGACACCATCGTCGTTACTGTCCCAGTAGCAAGTTCTGTCTCGACAGCGACGGCGACCACCACGGTGGCAGGCCTGACCGTCATCAGTACCGCACCGACAGTTACTTCGACGGTCACCGTGGCGAACATCACACTCACTACCACAGCACTCACAGTTCTCGGAACTGGTATCGGCGGCATAATTGGCACCGGCGGCACCGGCGGCCATGGCACGGGCTTGGTTAACACAACATTGCCGGCCGGCGCGACAGTTGCCGGCAACGGTTCATGGTCTTTTGTGACGATCACAGTCGACCCCAAGACGGTGTTCTTCAGTAACGCAACCACGTCGACAGTTACCGTCACAGCACCGTCCTCCAAGACCGTGGTCGTTCGCCTTGCTCGTGTCCAGTAACACCAGCCCAGCTCTACCACTGGTCAAGCTGCCAAGCACACGCATCAGTCTAGAGTGCGACCACCCCACGGCCTATCGAGAAATTCCTTCGAGGAAAAAGATCCGCCCGGCTCATTGTTTCCACCATTATTTGTGCTCTGAGCGAGCCGATGGCCGCGCAAAAGGGCGGCGAAAGGTAAACTCAGGAAGAAAAAGAAGGAAGTGGGAGCTTTTGGAACCTCCATATTTAGGGAGATGGGGCCCAGTATTCATGATTTGCTTGATGTTGTGGTAATGTGGCGAGGGAGAATAACAATGGATACAATATTGTAATACTTGCAGGAGGACAAATCAGTCTAGATTTAGGAGTGGCGTCGAGGTGGAGGATTCGGACCCATCAGGGCAGTCGACGATCCCACGACATGATGGATGTGGCGATGCAGGTTTAGCTGTTTGTTGGGGGAATGGTCAAGTGTTACGAACAGGCGAGATTGAGGCGGTACGCAAGCTATGGAATTTATTATTTACAATTGGGAACATATGATCTCGACTTCGCTGCTGTGGAGCAATCCCCTCGGACAGTTACCATGTGTTGGATGAGGTATTGGTAACACAGCTCATGGTTTGCACGGGGCGGCGTCCGTCACAAGGATATAGCACAGCCACGGCTCTATGTTCGATGCGGGGGGATTCCATCTCCTCGGTCCCGGAAGTCTGCTTCAGCCACTCTGGTGGGATTCAGGGCGTAGGATCAAATAATGTGGCGGTGACCTATCACGCAAAGCGGGAGGTCGGTTGCAGCAATGAAGCAAAAAGATCTCAGTGAGGGCCTTCTGGGTTCGAGGGATGTGTCGAATGGGCCACGTCGGACGCCGACGAGATAAAATTCATGACGGGAGTCCTCAAAAGGGGAAATGAAACACGAGACTTTGGTGGCTGACATGACAGCGTCGCTCGCTCGTTGGATAGGTACCTATTGTGTGCAGGAACTACGTCGCCGCGAGAAACAAAACTGGGCCGTGCGTGAGACCCATTGGAATCCCCCTACTCTCGGAACTTGTGTGTTGCGGCCCCGAGATGGTCTAAAAATGGTCGGCGGCGGAGATTGATGAATGGATCAATATATCGAGGGCACAAGAAGACATGGCGCCCTGGTTATGTGAGGCCCTGTTGCCGTGCTCTGTGCTCTGTGATGGATCAAGCCATGGGACAGTCACGTGAGATAACACCTGCGCGAGGCAAAGAAGGGCTAAAGGTCTCTTCCAGTCACACCTTCTTGCATCCCGTCGATGCGGCGCAGGACTTGGAATCAAGGATTGGTCTGTGATGGGAGATGGGAAAGCCCTGCCTTCTGGCCTTTATCTGCCCGGCTATAGTTCGGCCAAAACTGCTTATGTCAGACTTCTGACTTGGCTTACTCATTCCCTGCCACTGTGGCGAGCCTGACTGTGGCTAACCTTGGCTGTGGCTAGGAAACCAGAGCCTTACGGGTACGCGTTTCCATCCATCAATCGCGCACCCGCGGCTCTTTACCTCGGACAAGCGTGCATCACCAGCTTCAATCCGATCGGCCTGATTTCACCACCGCTCTACTTCCGCCACGGTGCTCAAAGAAGCACCAGCCCAATTCGATGGATCTGCTTACCCCGGGTCCAAAGGGCCAACCTACCAATATTGACCGCCCCAGGTGGCTCTTCACCACGCCCTCAACGGCTCCTGCAAGAACGATCTCCTCAAATGAGAAGGTCACAGAGATCGCATTCCTCGGCCTGATCTCCACATATTTGCGACGAAAATAGACCGACTTGGCCGTCACGAACTCGTCTCCTGAAAGTTGCAGGATCCTGCCCTCAGGGCGATGGCCTGTAGGAGTAGAGTCCTCAGTCGCCGGGCGGCCACCCCCACAATCCCCATTCCCGCCGGCCGGGCTGACGTTTGGGAGGCCCGTTCATGTCACGCTTCGTGAGAGGGAGCGTGCTCGTTCATTGTCCCAGCGGTTTGGCACATGCTCCCGAATGGGATTTGCGGGGTCCAATGGCCCTCAATGGCTTCCCCTATCGACCAGTGTCGAGCCAGTGGCCCAGCGACCCAGTTCAGGACATCTGGCGTGCCCATCGACATGGCTGTGTACCGATCCTCTACGGCATATTCTGGGCCCCCAACCATGGTGCCGACCCAGAACTCCAACCATTGGTCTCGTCATATTGGCCCTCATTCATACCTTGCTCTCCACATAACCCCTTACATAGCCTCTCCTAGAGCACTCTGGTCTAGATCCTGATTCCTTCCCTGAACAATTTTTCTTTTTGCCGTCCAACCGAAATCCTTGCCCGTTATCCCCAGACTTTTGCACCAAGCCCTGCAACTTCTAGACCTGTCCTTTTGCCTGCAAGAAGTCTAGCAGGATTTGCAGCCTTGCCTATTCTGAACTGCCAGGGGGAATGCTCTGGGTGTCCTGTCATCTCAATCCCCGGCCGTTCTATATATGGAATCATTCGGCAAGAAGCGGAGTCTGTCAGAACCCAATTCAAACTTTGGGTCGCAGTCTGGCACTTGCCGTCTGTGGCTTGTTGCCATGATTGGCACACGCCCCGGCGGCAACCTTCACCGTGGCTCCGGTGAGGTTCTGATGGAGGAGCGGGATCGGACACGAGATGGACGCTCTGCCTTCCCAAAGAGTCAGAGCCCGGCATGTGCACCAAGCTAGGACTTGCTGGACTAGCCTGCCCAGAGCAGTGGCACCCGTGGCATGACAATATTGAACCTCATCGAAGGATCCGCGTATGTGGCCCCTCAGAATACAACCCTTCATAGCCTCCCTTGAGGATACAGCATCGTGTCCTGTATTGGTCATCATGCGCTTGGCTTGCTCCTCCTTAGCTTGATGGTGCAGGGCTGGGCCAGATGGGGCGACGAGTCGGGCTTGGTGTAGAGGCTTCCTTCACTAGCACGTGTCGGAAAGTGCCGAGCGGCTCCTTTCCTTGCCGGACAGGCAGCAGACGGTGCGCGGAAACTGCGGAAGGATGATGTTGCTATTTGGGACTTGGCGTTGTCCAACAAACCCCGTGCTATATATCATGACGCAAGATACCGCTCTGTTTGCACTCTGTTCTGTCCAGATCATCCCATCACCATCAGCTCTACAGTCCTGGCTCGGCTTCTTTGCTTTCCCAAACCGGAAATACTTGGTCGGAAGTTACGATTCGGCTTTTCGGCCTCGACGCAAACGTTTTTCGGGCGGACAATACTCAAACGCGGACCTAAAATCAAGGTTCAAGGCTGCCAAAACCCCCAACGAGGCAAAGCTTCGAGGGAGTCATATCTACAGCCCACTTTGGCTGTCGTTGCACTGGCTCCTCTGCCCTGCCTGGATCTCTATATAACTGCTCTTGGACGACACTTTCCTCAGCTCTCGGATCAAAAGACACCCATCCATATCATCAGTCTCGACTCTCCAGGTCGAGAAACGCCTGCTTGCCCACAGCACGAGAGGAGAGTCTGAAGGCCTTCGTATTTCCTTAAGCAGTCACGCTGCAATCCTCGTCAGACATCAACCATCGTCCATTGTCTACCATCCCATCAAGCGACCACTCTCTCCTCCAACCTGAGAGTTGACTGTACAATGAGTGGCCGACAAGGTTGCGTCCCGTTGCTGGCGCCTGAGGGTGGCGAGTACGAATACGCGGGCTACAGCTACGAGTACTCGGGCGAGTACACGGGCGAGCACGCGGCCGGCGGAAACTCTGGAGGCCAGGGCACCTCGGGAGGCGGCGGCAAGGACGACAAGCCCAAGCGCAGCAAGAGCAAGAAGAAGAAGGAGGTCAAGCCGCCCCCGGGCAAGAGCCGTAGCGGGTACAACTAGGCAGCGTCCCCTCCAGCACCCGTCATTTTCCTCTCTCATGGAGAAAGCGACGCTTTCCCGCCAATTCTTTTGTCTCCCTTTCCTGCCCTCCAAATGACCACGTCTTCCTGTCACGATTCTTGTTTTTTTTTTCATTATCCTATTCTATTCTACACTCTCCTTCGTACCGTCCTTACCAATGTGTATAAACCGGTCCTGTTTTTCTCCCCTTCCTCTTGACGTTGGATGGTGTATTGGCCAAAATCAAGTATCGGGCTCGCACCTTGGGCATTGGTGCCGTTTTTGATCTGGTATATACAGTCATCCTCGCATTCCCAGTCTATCATCAAATCATAGAGCACCCCTAGACATAGAAATCCAAACCACTACTGGCAAAAAGAGCTCTGTGACAGTTCAAGGTGACATGTCGACTTTTTTAATGCGGCTGAAATGTAAACACCGCGTAGAGGGCTGGTGGGATTTTGGTTGTGGCAGATGGAGAATTTGATATGGCAGGCGCAGCGCGAGCAGAGGCAAGACGCTGTGGGGGGTGTGAGGATTTGGCAGCAGCCCGGGTCCAGTCACAGATGTAGGCATCAGGCAGCAACCAAATTGTACAACGTCAAGGTTCTATGGACTGGATATAGTCCTGCATCCTCTTTAACCATCTTCCCCGTTGAGATTCCTCCGGGTCCGAGTCGTCGATATTGTCTGTGGCGGTGCCTATGTTGGCCCCCAAGAATTAATGGCAGGTAGGAGAAGGAACAAGGGGGAGATGGGGATGGCAGAAACCGGCCATTAAGGTGCAGAAACAAATTGAATCAGGAATCTCCGTCGGCCCCGAGCTTGGAGATGCTTGCCATGGAGTCAAAAATGGTTGTTTCAGTGAAGGGGAAAGTCGAGATTTTGCATCTGCGATGATGAGGCGACGGATCCGGATGAATCCTTCAGGTGCCTCAGGCATTAGGCTAGGTAGACAAGGGATGCGGCTTTTGTGTTGGCTGCGTTTACAGCATTCACCAAGGAATCCTCGGTGCTCCTTTTTTTTTTTTTTGTTGCGGTTTCCCATGTTCCAACCAGCATCCATGTCCGGTCCGCAGCTTGGCCCCCTTTCCCATTTTGACACTACCACTAGCGCGAGCACGGCACCGAGAGGATAAAGAAAGACCTGGCTAGCCTCGCAAGGCGAATGAGGGGACTTGACCAAAAAGAACCATGCGGCTGAAGGGGCGGGTTCGGTTTCACGCTAAACAGTACCGGCGCCAGGGCTGCGTGGCCAGGGACGAACTGGATGTGTGCGGTTCCGGGGCCAAGTCGATTGTGGCAGGGGAAAAAGCAAAGAGTAAATTGGCGCTAGGTTGTCTTCTTTTGAGTGGGCAATGACGGACGGCGAGTGCCGCGTAGCAGAGACGGTCTCCGACTCCAGCAAAGGAGCCTTGTTTGACCCGCTAGAAATAATCGGAACGAACGACAAAAATGGTCCCCTAGTCAAAGGCCAGGTACACTAAGCACGAGATCGCGATACCGCACAAGCATCGGCAGAGACGGATGAGAAAGTGGAAATGCCAACCCGGTAATCACGATCCGCACAAACGGGGGAGTAGGGCATCGATTGCAATGTGCACAGTCCTTTTCCTGCCCCGGGGTGTTTAGGCTTCGATGTTGGTAGGCGCGACCCTGGGCCGACCCAACGCGAGCCCGTAGGGAGAGGCGGCAGTACAACCGGCGGCAAAAAAAAACAAAAAAAAAGAGGAAACGGAGTGGGCCCGTGATAATACCGTGTGCTGGGGGAGGGCGGTTCTACTGGCTCAGGGGCGAGCTACCAAGGTGTGCTCCGTCGCGCCTGTTGCGGGACAGAATGGACAATGAATGCGTCGGAAGCAACATGAGGACGGTGGTGCGTGGGCCATGCAGAAGGGAGCTCTTGGGCACCGCATGGAGAATCTGGAAGAGAATCACTCATCCTGTCCCTTGCGCTGTGTCGGGACAGCCGGGAGCCCATGGCGCTGGGCAGGAGCAACACCACATCTTGGTCCTGACAAATTCCACCATGGCCCGACCACTGGCTGGCGTAGCGGCCGAAGGGGAGCTTTGTGGGTGGGGTGTATGTGTGTGGACGGTGGAGGTGGTAGGCATTTCGTGGGCTTGCAAGGGGCAGGGAAGAAAGGCGGAGGCAAGGAGGGAGGCACATTTGAGATCAAGCCCAGGGTAACGATGGTCTCGTCAAGGGGCAGGCCAAAAACCGTACCGAGAGGTGTGGGCCTACCCAGGTGAATTCTCCCTTCCCCCGTGCCAGCCGACCTCGGTGTCCTGTTGGCCCAGGCGGCAAATCTCTTGGGGGAGTGAAAGAGACTACTAATCAGGGGCTGCCTAGGAACAGATCTGCCCTGGAGAGGGCCAGTGGCAGAGAAACCTGGCTGTCCCTCGGTACTTGCGGCACCCACAACGGAGAGGAGGACAGATCCTAGGACTACCTGGGAGATGGGCAAACTCAAGGAGGGAGGCAGGGATCGAGGGGTGACGCTTCCCACCACGATCTGGGCATTTTCTTGGGACGGCAAGCTTGCACCTGCCTACCTCGGGGAGGGGATGGAAACGGAGTAAGGACGGGGAGTAGGGCGGCGTCAAGCAAGGCCCGCGTGACGAGCACCCACCGTCTTGACGCCTACAGTCTCTAATCTCGTGGAGTCACAGTCGGGGGTGAGCTCAAGGCTACCTGCCCAAGCTTGCCAGCAACGAGACGCTAGCAGACACAACTGAGTCGCCAGGGCTTTGTGGGTCGCAGAGGAATTTTGAGAAGCCCCCCTTGCTACTCTCCTGGGTTCCACGGGGGCGTGTGCTCACTGTGTCGGCTCCAGCCCGTCGGCTGTGGCCTGAATCTCGTCGGTGCGGGTAGCTACGTACGTAGGTTGGAGTCTGGCTTTACCCGGGGGGAGAGTTAGGGCGTCTCTGGGGGCTTTTTTTTTCTGAATAGGAGTGAAAATAACTTCTTCAAGGCCCTGCGTGGTCCTCGTCGGCCCGCCGTCTCCTCGCTCCTCGCAATGTCGGCCTGTTCATGTGGCCGGCAGGATAATTAGCCCTACGTCGGCTGCCCAGGGGGGGAGGGCAAGTCAGTCATGGAACTACGCGCAGGCGGATAGATACCGATCGGCCGAGGTGTAGAGGCGGCACAGCGGCTGCCGGGGCAAAAGGGCTGCTGCTGCTTCCAAGGGAGAGCCACTGGCATCATGTAGTGGACACCGCTAGTCCAAAGACCCGTCAAGTCCAAAGTTGGCGCAGTTCCGGGGGAAACTCTGCAGGTTCCGTGGATCCTCACCGTTGAAGAGTCGAGAGAAATTGAAGCAGCCAGAGGGGTTTGCTGCACGTACGTGCCACACTGACTGTGCTGAAGATTTCTCTTCTGCAGCCTCGGAGAAGGGTTTTCCACCCGCCTCGATCAATCTGCGAGGGGCGTGTGTGTGAAGGAGAGCAATGCAGAGAGGCAGGGGCGAGGGAGCCAGCGAAGGGTGGGCTTGTCTTCAGACGATGAGCATTCCCTCCAACGTATCCACCCTCCACCGCCACCACCCCTTCCTTCCTTCGGCGCGATGCAGCACATGGTAGGCCAGAAAAAAAGAGGCCAAGACAGGGATGGCACGCGAATCCGGAGGCTGCGTGCATGTCTCTCCAGCAACACATGGGGGCTTTGAGAGGCAGCAGATTGGGGCTTTCTCTTCCTTGGCGGGACAGAACATGCTGGTATCGATGCTGCTCTGGGAGCACGAGCTCAGAGCAAGGAGAGTTAGTTGTTGGACGAGAGGCCAACGTGAAAAAAAGAGCCCACACACCCAAATGCGACCTGATCACGCCACTGGTTGCGTCGGTAGAGAAGCAAACGGATCACGAGGGAGAGCGGGTATACCGCCAAGACAAGCGCTATAGGTCGATTTGTGATACTAGATGTCTACCCTCAGGGCTGCCGGTGTGCCTTGTGGCGGCGGTAACCAGGGGCTAAAAGCAACCAGTCCGCCTCGAACTGGAATTCACTGCGCTGCACCCAAGCCCCGAGCCGGATCCCACTCTCCCACAAGCAAGACCCCAGCAGCGGGGGATCTTAGGGTGTCGATAGAATCACGCGTGTGCTGTTGGAAAGTGCTAGAAAATGCAGTACCAGGATCGTCCGTCAGATCATGTCCTTTATTTTCACTTTATTTTCGCTTATTTCTCCTTTGTTCCCCCCTTTTCCCCTTGTTTTCTTATTCACCCCCTCTCTCGTCCCTTCTCTCGTCCCTTCTCTCGTCCCTGCCCAAGTCCCCCTGTAGCGTCCGTGGGCCATGTGTGTTGGTTTGGGTTTGTTTCCGCTCATTTTAGTGTACTAGCCTGTTGGGTCCAAAAGGTCCCATGGTAGCATTACATTCTTTCTCAGCTGCGCAACACTAGGCCAGGATTCTGCGCTTGCAAGAGAAAAAAAACCCCGCAGAAGCACTGACGCAGTCACTCTCTCTTGGCCCTTGTATGGCCTGGCAGACTTTTGTTTCCATGGGTGGTCATGCAGCCCACCTGTGTGCTCGGTCTGTTGGTTTGTCCTGCTGGGCCTGCGTCGACTCTTACCCACCGAACCCACACCTTTTGCTATCTTCCTGTCACCTCGGCGCGTTCGGGTGGGCCCCCCATCTATGGCGCGCTGGTCTTCCTCCCCTCCCCCCTTTTGAGGCCTTTCCGTCTGGTGGCAGTCACCTGATCACCCCCATTCCTTCTCTTCTTTTCCTTCTCTTCTTTTCCTTCTCTTCTTTTCCTTCTCTTCTTTTCCTTCTCTTCTTTTCCTTCTCTTCTTTTCCTTCTCTTCTTTTCCTTCTCTTCTTTTCCTTCTCTTCTTTTCCTTCTCTTCTTTTCCTTCTCTTCTTTTCCTTCTCTTCTTTTCCTTCTCTTGGCAGCTGTGTGGTTCTGCGAGCATCCACGTAATAGCTCCGCGATCCCACTTTGCGTGTCCAGCGAGGAACACGGTGATTGACGGGCATATGCACGCCTGAGTGGCGGCCGGCAAGCAGCGTAGGGCATAGTCCCCCACAGGTGAGATTCCTCCCGTTAAAGGATTCGCATGTCTGAGCCGATCACCTACTGCTCCATATGCCGGGACTTTCCCGCCATCACGGTCTTTATTCTCAAAGGTACCTACATGCCTAGGTAGATACGTAGGTGGCTGCCTACCAAATTGGTTCAAAAAAGATCCCACGAGAACAAACTGAAGCGCTGTGGACTGCCCACCCCTGTCATCTCCGGTTCGCCTTTCTGCGCTTTTCTTCCCTGGAGTTCTTAGACCAAGCCATGCTGCCACTGTGAAAGCATCCGCTAATCTCCATACATCTCTGTCAAAAGCCACGAAATAAGAGCTTTTTTGTACAAGCCAGTTTCCATGTACCCAAAATTGTTTACATGCTACCTTTGGAGTGAGGAAAAATAGAGGAAGAAAAATATCCCGTTATCTTGAGTAGAAAAGGGATGATGTGAAGAACAATTCTCTATCGTGTCTTTCGGTGGACCGCGAGAGTGGTTGAGTGTACTTGGGGCCTGTGTGGATGTGATTTCGTGTTAGTCCAGGAGGTCTAGTTGTCCTCCGCGGTTGGGAAAACGCCACCTTCTCAGTGCCTTCAGCGGTAGGAGGCTCTTCTGTTGCAGCGACTACAGATTTCCACAAGGAACAGGTCGTGTATTCGATCCCGGGGAGGCAGATTTTCGCACTCGCAGATCCACTTGCTCTTGCCCTGGCCGGCTCCCCTCGTGGAATCCTCGCTTGCCCACGTCTTGTACAGTTCCCCAGGGACGTGGAGACCATACTCAACGCCACATTCGATGCAGTACTGGCGCAGGTGGATCTTGGTGCCTTCGCTTGGCGTGACCGAACGTCCGCGGCTAGCGTACTGCTGCTGGTGCTGTTGTTGTTGGTTATGCGACCCAAATTGGCCATAGCTGCCATCCATTGGTGCTGCGTAGCTCGGGCGTCTTCCTGGCGTTGCCATTGGTGCCTCGTTGGCCTCCTCTTCTGGGTCGGGGATGGGGATGTAGTGGACTTTTCCGGTAGCAGGGTCTGCATGAACCGTCACCCAGTGTCGCTGCGTCGTGGGCCCCTGGAATTCGGTCGTCGGCTTGACCTTGTAGCAGAAGTAGCAGGCCGCCCGGGTGGGCGCCCGACACTGCTGCGCCGAGCCCCATCGTCCCTTCTGCGTGCTTTGGTGCCGTTCGATCTCGTCGAGTCGGTCCTCCCGCTCGCGCACAAACACGTACTTGTCGTCCCGATGAGCTACCTGCGGGTCCACTGTATCTCGTGCGGTCCTGCTGACCTCCCGTAGAAAGATGAGGTCCTTGTATCTCAGGTATGACCATACCCTGTCCAGGACTGCCTGCGGAAGCACACCCAGATCGCCCCAGGCTGTTGCCGGTACTGCCGACAGCGGATCAGCATCCGCTCTCCGGTATGGCGAAATGATGCGATCCACGGTCCTCTGGGAGAGACGCTCTGCCCATCCCGGCCTCGAAGGTGTCCGTAAAGCCATGAGTGCCGGATAAGATGGCAAGAACTGTGACGGGAAGGGCACCGGTGGACGTGTCATGAAGGCGCTCGCTGGTGCCGGAAGAACGTTGGCTGGCTGGCCCAGGGATGATTGGTGTGGCGAGAAGGGCTGTTTGTGTTGCTGCTGGCTCGGTCTCCGCTGCTGCTGCTGCTGACAGGCGTACCCGGCGCCGCCACCACCGCCGAGACTGCTACTCGGGAACCCCACAGGCGGCGATGCCGCGGCGGCCAGCGCGTTGAGACTCGCCTGTCTAACTGCCGGAGACGAGTGCGGCGACGGAGAGAGGGACCTCGAGTGGGACCGGGACGAGTGAGCGTAGCCGTACGAGCGAGTACGGGATACAGGCCGCGGCCGGGGTGGCTGCGCGTACTGCGCTGCCGTGCTATGTGGGTTGAGGTAGGATGCCGTGTACGACGACTGATGGTGTGTCGGTGGTGTTGTGGCGTAATATGACGGCTGCGGAGAGGGACTATGATAGTAACTGATACCGCTAGCACTCGAGGTACTGCTGATGCTGCCGCTGCGTGCGGCTGTATGCATTGCGGTGGTCATATTGGTGGCGGCCTCGGTGTTTGTTGCGATGGCGTATTCTCCGCTACCCAGATCGCTCAGAGAGTAGGGGGATGGGGAGGAGTTGCTCGATGGCGTCCCTGTAGAGGCAGAAGGTACGCCTTGGCGAGGGTACTGCTGTGGTGTGCGCTGCTGTTGCTGCTGCTGCTGGCCTGGCCGATCTTGCTGCTCCATAACTGGAAAAAGAGACGGACGAGGGAGTAGCGAGAGGAGAGGCGAGCAGTGGAGCATATTCATACCATTGCCTTCGCCAGCCTGGATGGTCGAGGAAAGAGGATGTGGGTTGGTGGATATAAAAGAGCTTTCCGGGTATTGACGCGTGGGGAGAGGGGATGGAGGAGAGAGGACTTGTTGACCGGACCAGGTGGGTTGCTGCTGGCTGGGGAATTGGGGCACACTCGGGGGCCCTGGACGCCCTAGATGGGGGTTCCCAAGATGTATCAATAGCCCCCGCTTAGAACCACAGCGCCGGAAATGGGCCACCCTGCATGCGCTTGATCGAAAGTGGCCGGGCGCATGCGAAGAACAGCCGGTAGCGCCGAGGAGGTGGTCAGAGTATTATTGTTGGTCCATCCGGCTCAGAAATCGACGTCGACCCCCTTGCCCGCTCGACTCTGAAAACCCAGTCTGATCTACGTCTCCACAAGGCCAAGTGCTCCCTGCTCCCCTTTGCTGTAGGCTTGCCGTCCGGTCCTCAGGCTTGTTGTCTATATAAGCTGAGCTGGCTGCGTAACCGGTGTCATTGAGGGCGGTGGGTGCTGTCAGTGGATGCGGCGTCGTATTTTACCTGTCCATCCGGGGATGCTGCCAGGGGGAGAGGGAAAAATTGCCCGGCCATACGCTTTCTACCCACACATCCGGTTTGACCTGGGTGTGTGTTGGAGGGAGATGTTGGCAGCGGTGGGTACTGTTGAACTCCCAGGGAGATGTCTGTGCTAGCCGGTCTGCGCCACGCTCTTCACACTGAAACGACGACACGGGGAAGCAGCAATCGAGGGTTGCGATAGCGACACAAATATCATCTTCACAGCAACACGGCCGATGGCGTCCGGAGCTTTGTCTTTAGGGCAACCGAGCGAGACAACAGGAACAGCGAGTCTTCTGCCATCGAGGTGGACAGACTGTGGGCGATCGACAGAAAGATATCTCTGGGAGCCCACTTCATACGGGGGGGTGCGACAAGAAAAGGAAAAAGAGAAAAAAAATCTCAAATCGGCAGCATGGCGACAGCTTGTTCGGCGAGCAAGCGGGGGGTGGAGGGGCTGGGTGGGCAGAGGGAGAGATAATTGCCTGCCTAGAGGTAGATACGTGTGGTACGTGGTAGATGTGAGCTGCCAGCGGCATGTCGCAGGGCAGATGGGGGGTGGGACCTACGGATGTCTGCAGAGGCAAGACGTGTTCTGGGTTCTGGGTTCTGTACGTGGCCTGTTGGCCCTGTCGTGGGCAAGCTGCAGGCTCCGCCGCTGCCCTGTCCGCGCCTGCTGCTCTCATCTCCTAAGAATAAGGACCGCACGCTTGACTGGCGTACGCACGTAGGCACAGTTAGACTCAACTCGCACCTTCCGCCCTAAATGTCATGGAAGGTACGTAGGGCCCCAGGGCAGGTACCCGCCCGGGTGCCAGCCCTACCCTAGCCACCCAGGGCCCCCAAGGCCCAAGGTTGGCCCCGAAGTAGCGGCACATCAGCGTCTGAGCAGGGGGTCGAGGGCCCACAGAGAGTTACTTCACGTCCCCCATTTATCATGTGAGAAGACTTGTCCCTCCTCGATACCGACCCCGGCGCACACCCATGGAGACATATAATCGCAGGTATCGGGCACAAGTATTTGCCGCTCTGGCTAGCATTTCTTAGCGGTGGCCGTAGAGCCGGGGTCGACAACACCATCTGCACGTCAACGTTTCCAGAAAGGTCCCAAGACATGCCAGAGAAAAAGACCAAGGAATGGCGGATGATGCATACCCGTCCACCCCCGTTTAGCGTCCCGCGGGTCTTTCGGGCTTCCATGGGAGTGTGATTGGATGGGCTTTTTTCGTCACGGTGACGCTCAGGCTTCGCAGGGGTGTGGCCACCTGGAGGCTTGGCTCTCCTTACCTCTACACCTTGTTTGCCTGTAGCTATCAGGCATGTAGGCATGCAAGTACCTGGTGTCTACTACCTTCCCATCCTGACAGGTACAGATAGATGATACCAACCCACTTGGTATGTGTTCACCCAACCCTCTGGAGTTCGATGACTGTCGGTGGGTAGATAGGTAGATAGGTGGTAGGTCAACACGCGCCCACGCCAGTCTCTCCATGATGCCGGCTCGCCAAGAAAATCATGTTGACGCCAGAGGCCAACCGCAGGCTGTGATACCCACCCAATAAATGTTTGACGACCTCTCAATGAGGCAGGAGCCCACCAGTGGGAAATATGCAGCATAGCAGCGAAGGGAGAGAGAAAGCAAGGGAGGGAGGGGTACGTAGCATAGAAAGGATGTCCCGGTAAAGGGGGGGCGCGGGCCGGATGGGGATCTGCCAGGAGTGAGACGGTGGCGGGGACGAAGGAACCCGCCGGGCTTTTTCACAAGCTTGACCTGGGCGGGCTACGAGCAATGGCCAGTACCCATCGAGGAGGGGGCCGAAATGCATCGGATCACAGGGGGCAAGGGGTTGACTGCTTATGTGGACATGGATCTTGGTAGAGAATGTGGGTTTGGATCAGAAAAAAAAGAGGCGAGGGGTGGGGGGCATGGTTGCGACAGAACTGGGTGGTGAGAACGCCGCTGGCGGGCACACGGCGTAGCGAGCATGCACATACGCATAGACTCACGGATTCAGCAAAAGGGCCGCTTGAGGGTAGCACGACATGCTCGGTAGTGTCAGTTAGTCAGTTATCTGTGTCTACCTAAATAGGTACTCCAGCAGCAGACTTGATTCACCGCTCGAAAGAGGGCCGAATCGGTCGTACAAGCAGGCATCCCATGTAGGCTTCGGGCCAGTGACGCGAGTCTGGTATGCTCAGCGCGAGACGGGGAAGAAGCGAGCCAACCAAGAGCGCGGCTCTAAGCGCCTCGACGACTGGCAAATGGGAGCGACGGGAGGGGGAAATAGGCGCCATATCCGAGGCCCAAACGAAAGAGTAAAAAAAAATAAAAATAAAAATAGAGGGGGGAGATGGGATCCGTATCGCACCAAGCGAGGGATGGGCGTGCCCAGTCGCGCAGCCGCCCGCGGGTAGGCTAAAAGTGAGAAAGTGGGAAAGAGCAAGCAACCAGGGCCGGCAGGCGCAGCGCAGGGGCAGCGCTCACCGTTAGCGCGACCCGACAGAACGGTTCTGAGCGGGTCCTGCCCCACAGTTGCGCGACCAACAGCCCCGACTTTGATTTTCCAGACAGGGACTTGCCCCTGCCTCATGCAGATGAGCACAAAATTTGACCGTTCCAATTTATGGTTTCGATTCAAGCAACAACCCAAAGCCTACCTCCACACCCACACCCACCCACACACACAGTAGACTAGCTCACCCTCACCCACACACGCTCTCCAGTTCATTCTTGCTTTTCCTGTTTCCTTTCTTACGCGCAACACACAACTACAACGGGGCCGTCTCCAGTCCAGGAGGCGGCAGCTGTCCTCTCTCTTATAATAAATACCGCGGACGGGGTGCTCCGAGCTAATGATCCTTGCTAGCTAACCCCAGCCATCCCCGTTTCTGCATGCCTGCCCCCATACCCCCATGGCCAAGTGTTCACGTATGCGGCTGTCTGTTGGTTCCACATCGCACACGATGAACATGCGAGGCACCACACCTTACAAATAAAATGCACTGGCAACGTGGCCTGATGGAACACAACGAGCACAATGAGCCATTCAGTTGGTAAATTTTGTGTACGCGCTCCCCGCACAGGAAGGAGGACCTGCCATCGACGGCTTTATTTCCCCCTTCGACCAACACCAGCATGAGCAATACCCAATGAGTGATGGCCGAGGTTTCTCGTCAAGCCGAGCAGGGCCGAGGGGAAGCCAGTTTTCGGTGACCTCTGACCGGGTCAAGGTTGAATTGAACGCTACTATCGATCCCCGACCTGGCTCGCCGGCGTTTTCGCATCTATCTTTGCGGAGATGCCACACCGGCCTTGTCCCAGCGGCCTTGTCCCAGCGGCCTTGGGGGCCGGGCCAACTGACCGCGCCTCCTCGCTTGATTCATGGCACGGCGGAAGGGAAAAAAAGGAAACACGATGAAGATCTATCCTCCATCCAAAGAAGCTCGCTCACCGGTTACCTGAGCGGGCCCTTTGAGGAATCCAACTCCGACACGAGGACTCGGCTCTGCGACAGAATTAAGGTTGTTTTGTTCCGGGTTTCCGGTAAGGTGCATGCAAACTTGTGCGCCCGATTGATGCTGTCTAACATGGAGCCCACGAGTCTCAGTGAGCCAAAGAGAGAATGGGGTTCGGCGTGTGCTGGTGAGAATGCTACCTACCCACACCAAGCAATAGGATAGGCCGACCGACTAGCGTGTAGAACCCTCGATGCCTTGAGCTTTTTCCTGGCTGGACAGGAAAACAATGACGGCAAGGCTTGATGTCAATACAACTCGACGTCACTCCGACCACCGGTGGGGTTCTTCCGTCCCGTCACTACCGGGCAAGAGGCAAGATCAGATCATTAGGATGAGATCGCCAACTGCGGAGTCCTTGCCCCCCTCGGGCGGCCAAGGTCAGGTCCCACTCTGATCAAAGCGGAGTCTGGCGAGCGGCACGGCCGCGAGATTATACCGACACGGTCCCTCAGCGTCGTGTGGGCTCCAGGCGGGGACAATCACGGCCTCCAGTCTCCAGGGTTTGGGGGCGGCGCGCAATGGGCTCACATCCGGCGACTCCACCGGGGATCCATTGTGCTGTATGCATGGTCCTTTGCGGAACCTTCGGCGCACGTTCAACGGCATCGACCTGGCGTGGCATCATGATCCCCGGCCCCTGTCAACCTGGCGAGGGCAGGGGGAGGAGATCAGGCGCAGAGTCGGATTCGGTCACCATCTCGCGTATTCTAATGGGTGACGCCCGGAGTGCGACGGTCCCAATCCAGGCGGGGCGCACTGGTCGGGGCGCGGTCCGCGCTGCTAACGATGTCGCTTTCCATTGCCCAGGGTTTCCAACCACCGGTAGGGAGCGGCATCTACTGATCATATGCGCGTCGACGCAGTGTGGACGCGCGTTGTCCAACTAGCGCCGGTAACATGTAAGCCAGGAGTTGCAAATTGCAGCCTGCCTGCCTTTTGCTGCCTTGGTGTCAGCCGGTCCGGCTCCAAGCAAGCTCACCTCCAAACCCATACCAAGATATTTTACTCCCCACCATGACTCTCTCGCCCAGCGCCAATGCTCCGCCGGCAGGCAATTCTACAGGCGTAGCCAGGGCCGCCGGTAGGCGCCGAATCACATTTTAATCGCAGCCTCTCCACACCAGTCACAGCCCATTGCGGCGTCGACTGCACGATTTATTGAGCTCACAACTTGATCGGACAAGGTTGTCACTGGAAGCCATAATCCGAGTGGCGCACAAGCGGGTTCCCGCGTTACTTTTGGCTGCTGCTGTTTAGAGGATGCTCTCGCTGGTTATGGAACAGATCGAGTGCGAGTCTGACCTTCCCGAACCGAGCAGGCGGCATAACGCAAGATGTGCGTGTGCAGCCAAAGTGGCGTGGCGTGCGCTCCCAACAAAGCGGCCGAGGGCCAACACTCGGGCCCTATTTCATTTGAGGTAGGCTGGTATTGATTCACAATGCTCGTACCGTGGTATTCGCCATCCATTAGTAGCGGCCGGCGTTGTTGTCGCAGAAAACGATTAATGAATGAGCCTACCACCGCTTCCTAGTTATGGACCCGAGTACCTATTCGAGTGGGTTCATATTGACTGCACCTTCCATCTTAGACCTGGTGCGGGGTACTGCGCCCGCCCTGGATTATGGCTTGCTGGTGACTTGGACGGAAAAGCCGCTGGCCGATGGTGGCCGAGGAGGAGCAGCCGAGTAACCGAGCTTTGCTGTGCCAAGCAGCCGCGATAAGAGACGGGCAAGTGGGCAACCACCTCATGATTGAAACTATCAATTGCTACATTCCATCCCTTGCAGCCGGCCGCCAACAGACTCGCATGCACCACCTCATTCCAGGATTCTATTGATCCCACAGGAAGAACTTCGGTGTTGTCGGTGCCTGCAAGAGACAACAGCGATCATTTTGAGGTGGGAAAAGGCTGCCTCGGCCAGCTCAATCCGAATCATCGATCGCTTTCAGCGGGGGACAGGGCCTTACTCGCTTACCTCCGCTCCGTCCTCGGCTGGCCCGAATCGAATATCCAGATCTGGCAACCGGTCTGGCTCATTATCTCGACCATGCCGTTTATTCTCGGTCTCTCACGACACCGGAAGGATTGGTGAGTCGCGTATGACCTGATTTCCAGCCTGTCGATCGAGAGGGATAATGACGGGCATGGAAAATGCGCGACTACATGACCTACCCTACATATGTGCCTGTGAAAACCTCGGCTGGGGAAAGAAAGAATGCCGGTGGAACGCGCGTACAAGATAGACGGCTGACTCGCCGGGCTCTCTAGCAAGTTCAAGCAGGAGCAGCGCGCTGAGCGCATTCGCTCGCTCACTCGCTACCATGGGGCGCTTACCGACCAAGACAAGGCCACTCTTCGGGCTCCCATAAAGGAGCTCGTCAGAGGGGTCCATGAAGAGTCGATCAACCCCGTCGACATCCTGCTGACCTATGGCAAGGTTGCCATAAAGGCCCATGCCAAAACCAACTGCCTGACCGAGGTGATGCTCCCTAGTGCTGAGGCTGCCTTGGCAGATGGCAGTGTGAACCTCAAAGGTCCCCTCGCCGGCATCCCCGTCAGTCTCAAAGAGTAGGTTTGACTCTTTCCCCGGAGGCAAGGAACGGCTCGTTCCCCGTGTTTGACTCGACGACGGCCCCCGCTTACGAGGAGTCCACACCAGCACGGTACCTGTGGGTGGCTACGACAGCACAGTCGGCTACAGCAGCCTGATAGGTAACGCCCAGCCCAAGGACGGCCCCATCGCGCGTCTGCTCAAGGACGCGGGTGCTGTCCCCTACGTCAAGACGAACATCCCCATCACGTTGCTCTCGTTCGAGTCTACCAATGATGTCTGGGGCCGCACTACCAACCCCCACAACCCGCGTTATTCTCCGGGCGGCTCTACAGGTGGCGAGGCCGCTCTTCTTGCCATGGGCGGCCGTATTGGAATCGGGAGCGACGTTGCTGGCAGCGTGAGGCTTCCAGCCGCCTGGTCCGGCTGCTACAGCCTGCGCTGCTCCACAGGTCGCTGGCCCAAATGGGGGGTCAGCACCAGCATGCCGGGCCAGGAGGGCGTACCAAGCGTTTACAGCCCGATGGCCCGCACGTTGGATGACTTGACCTATTTCACGCGCTCCATCGTCGGCATGGAACCGTGGAAATACGACCACACCGTCCACCCGCTGCCCTGGCGCGACGACGACGCGACTGCGATCTTGGGCGGCGGGGAGAACTCGAAGAAGGCGCGGGTGGGCGTCATGCGCTCCGACGGCGTGGTAGATCCCAGTCCCGCGTGCGCGAGGGCGCTCAGCATGGTCGAGGAGGCGCTGCGCCGGGCCGGGCACGACGTCTTCGAGATGCGGCCGCCGGCCACATACGAGGCGCTCCGTGTGGCATCGCTGCTCCTGAACGCCGACGGCTGCGGCACTTTTGAGAGCTTCATGCGGCCGGGCGAGTGGCAGGACCGCGGGGCCGACCAGATGAGCTGGATGATGAAGCTGGCCCGCCCCTTCAAGTACCTGTACTACCTGTGGGTCAAGTACGTCCGCAAGGACGACGTCTGGGCCGGCCTGGTGCGGGACTGGCACCCCAAGTCGGCCCTGGAGAACTGGAAGCTCGTGGGCGAGCGGGAAAGCTACCGGCTCAAGTGGTTCGAGTGGTGGAACCAGGCCGACGTCGATTTCCTGCTCACTGTGCCCAACGCGACGCCGGCGCTGCCGCACGACGCCATGAAGGACGCCGTTAGCAGCTGCGGCTACACGTTTCTGTTCAACTTCGTGAGTAGCCTTGTGGATACCTGCCAATGGGTAATTGCTAACCATTGACGCAGCTCGATTACACCGCCGGCGTCCTTCCGGTAACTCATGTGGACAAAGCCAAAGATAAGCTGCCCGCAACGTTCAACTTCAAAAATATGAATGGCGTAGCTCAGGGTGCGTATAAGTACTACGACGCAGAGGCCATGCATGGCTTGCCTGTTGGTGTTCAGGTTGTCGGGCGTCGTCTCGAGGAGGAGAAGGTGCTGGCCGCCATGAAAGTCGTGGAGGACGCGCTCGGAGAAGATAAATACCGGCTGCTAGAGATTGACTAGGCACAACGACTGGCGCTCTAGCGCCAAGTGTGCGTATCCTTTGGGGGAACTCTTTGGGGGAACTCTTTGGGGGAACTTGATGGGTCAAGCTGTGACCACAGGACGGATTCAACGCAGTGATTTTAACATGACACGAATGGGCAGGAAGATAGCCAGGGTACGTAATTGCGGTCCCAAATAGTTCGCACCAGGGTGATGGGACATAATTGCGTTGTCCATGATCCGCAAGCTATATCGGCGGGGCTCCGAAATCGGAGCTCTGGAGCGGGCTCGGCTACCAACAAGGGAAAACACGAAGTATAAGATGCGAGAGGAAACCAAGGAATAGCTGAAATCTCATGGTATACCTACCTAGTTTACGAGCCAAATATTGTGGCAGGATACAGTGGCCCAAATAATTTGTTTCATCAAAGCATATCTCCGATACTGTCCTGACTCTGGCCCATCCGTTTGTCACCTACATACCTCCCACTAACACCTATCAAACGCGCAGATCCGAGCCAAAATTGCCGACGAACAGCGACGCGATGACGGGCAATGGAGAAAGCAAAGACAATTGGTCCTCAGAGGTGAGCTGCACGTCCACTCTTGCTCCAGGGAGCCAGCAAATTCTCCACGCCCGGAGATCTGGGGGCGGGCTGACCAATCGCGCGAGCAAAAAAAGGCCTACCAAAACGCGGCATCGTTTGTGCCCAAGCTGGCCGTCGAGGTCATGAAGTGGCTCGACCCGCAGCCGGACGACATTATCCTCGACATAGGATGCGGCGGTACGTGCGTCCCTCTGACAGGATAGGTACCCGATGGTGTGCCAGCTTACGCTCATTATTATCACTTCTTTGGGTCCCCCCGTTCGCCCCATACAGACGGCGTCCTTGACCTCCAGATCGGCGAGGTGCTGGCCAAAGGCAGCGGGTCTCTGCATGGCATCGACAGCTCGCTGTCCATGATCGAGGCTTCCAAGGCTGCGGCTGCTTCTGCTGGTTTCGAGAACCTGACCTTTGAGGGTAAGAATAGCTCCCCCCTCATCAATGTCTTGTTGTGTTTTTTTTGCTGCCCTGTGCCTGGCATCCAATCCATGGACTGGTACCCAAGCCGGGTGTCGGGCGCATCGAACCCCTATCCAATCGGAAGCTCTGGGGGAGGAGGGGAGGAGGGGGTGAGGGGTTATGTACTGTACAGCACCACCCACACATATTCGACCAATAGGAAACATGGCGTACGTTTCGCTGCTGTCACTCTCACTAACACGCGCAACAAACCCATGTCCCACACAGTCCACGACGCAGCCGACCTGGTCAGCAAGCCCGAGCTCCAGCAGGCCAGGTTCACAAAGGCCTTCTCCAACGCGGCCATGCACTGGATCCTGCGGCCCGAGGCGGCGCGCGAGGTCTTCTTCCGCGGCGTGCGCGATGCGCTGTCCCCGGGGGCCACCTTCGCCTTCGAGATGGGCGGGCTGGGTAACGTGGCCGAGCTCAAGGCCGGCATCGTCGGGGCGACCGCGCGCCGCATCGGCCTGCCGGCCGCGCTCGAGGCCTGCCCCTGGTTCTTCCCGGACGAGAGCTGGGTCAGGCGCGTGATGGAAGGGGAAGGGGAAGGGTGCGGCGGCGGGTGGAAGGTCGAGCGCGTCGAGAGGGTCTGGCGGCCCACCGACGCCGACGCGGGCGGCGTCGACGCCTGGGTCCGGCTGATGGGCAAGCAGATGTTCGACGCCGTGCCCGAAGAGGCCGGCCAGCGCGAGGAGTGCATCCGCGAGGCGGTGGGGTTGCTCGAGGCGGTTTGTGCCACGCCGGGAGGGGGCTACATGTTTAGCTACGTCCGCCTGCGAGTCTTGGCCCGCAAGATCTGAGCGGGCGGGATTACGTTGCCGATTTCTTTTCTGTTCTTTTCTTTTCTTTTCCTTTTAATTTCTCTTCTCCCTTTTGCTTGTTGTGTGCTATTTGTGCGTGTGCGTATGCGTGTGCGTGTGTGTGCTGGCTCTGTTCATCTCAAACGGCACTGTTTAGGCCGCCCTTGGAGAAACCCAACTCTCCCGCGTGTGAGCATGTGCCACGAGATGACGTCGGGCATCGATTGGTGGGGCTCACCTGGAAAAGTGGCACCAGCAGCGATAATGAACGTGAAAAAAAGTGAGTTGTCTTGCCATCTTGGTTTGGTGCATGGATTTCAGTCCGCATGCATCAATCCTTGCCTGATTTTCTAGCGCCAGAAAACCGGCGCAGAGATCCAGCTCTATACCTAAAAGAGCACAGCTCGTCAACTCGACCCCAAAGCCCCTCGACCTCGATTTCACAGCCGTAAACTTGCCCCTCACTTCACTAAATCTCGAACCGCGGGAGCAGTTATCGGTCGCCCAACATGTCTGCGGATGATCAGGTTTTCCTGGACGTTGTAGGTTTGCGTGTTTGCATGTGCCACAACCTTGTGTTGCTCGCCACGGGCAGGACGAAACCATACTGATCGATCCGGCCCCTGGCCCTCCCCGCTCTCCAGCTGTCCGCCATCCCTAACGACATCAAACGATATTCGACCGAGGTCGCCGACTTTGTCGACAAGCATGTCGAGGTGGCGGCTGGGATGCTGAGGGAGCAGCTCTCGACGGCCGACTGGATCCCAGAGTCCTTCCGTCCACGCCCACTACCGCCCACCCCCTCCGCCCAGCTCCTTCCCCTCTCGGCGTACGAGCGGCTCGAGGGCTGGGTGCTGAGGCACAAGTTCCTCACGGGGCTTATCGTCCTGGGCGCCGGCACCGCCGCGTACCGCACCTACCACAAGCAGTACAACCACAAGCCCCGGCGCGCGAGGCGTTCCCGGAACGGAGGGCGGGTCGAGGTGGTTGTCATAGCCGGCAAGCCGAGCCTGCCCCTGGTCAAGTCCCTGGCGCTGGACCTGGAGAGGAGGGGCCACATCGTCTTCATTGTGTGCAACTCGGTCGAGGAGGACGCCATTGTGCAGAGCATGCAGCGATCCGACATCAAGCCGCTCGCCATGGATATAGCAGACGTGAGTATAGCCTCCACCCTCCACCAAGCTTTTGCTGCAGCGCCTCCCGCGCCATCGCGAGATAGCCCCGCTGACATGGGTAAACCACTCTCCATCCAGCCGCCGCTCGCAGGCGCCTCCATCGAGCGCTTCGCCCAGTACCTCCATGCTCCCCATCCCCCCACATCCAAATCGAAACCAATCCACCTCTCCCTAAAAGCCGTCATCCTTGTTCCCTCGGTCACATACCAGACTTCCCCGATCGCCACCATCCCTCCTTCCAGCTTCGCCGATCTCTTCCACACGCACCTGCTCCACCCCATCCTCACCATCCAGTCCTTCCTCCCACTACTGACGGCTCGCCCGTCTCCTCCGCCGGTGTCTCCGGCCACTGCGGCCGGCGCAACCCCCGCGCCGAGCCCCACCGCCACCAGTCACAATCAGGGCCCGCCAAAGGTCATTGTCTTCACACCATCCATCGTCTCATCCATAAACCCGCCCTTCCACGCGCCAGAGGCTACTGTGTGCTCTGCCCTGTCGGCCTTCACCGAGGTCCTGACGGCCGAGCTGCGGCCACTCTCGATCCCCGTCACGCACGTGCAGCTCGGCACCTTTGACCTCTCGGACTTCACGCCCGCCCTCAAGGCTGGTGCCGCCGCCGCCTCGCGCGCGGCCGGCCTGCTCACGGGCCCGGACCCGGCCGAGTCCTCGTGGCCTGAGTCGGCGCGCAACGCCTACGGCCGCAACTACACGGCGCAGTCCACGTCGGTCATCGGGACCGGCACCGCCGTCCGGGGCCTGCGTGGCACCTCGCTGCGGGAGCTGCACACCACCGTCTTCGACATCATCAGCGCCGACCCGGCCAGGGGCGGGCCGCCCGAGAGCGTCCGCGTGGGCCTCGGCGCGGACCTGTACGGCTTCGTCGGCCGCTGGGTGCCCCGCGGCCTGGTCGCGTGGATGATGGGCGTCCGCAAGGTCGACAACCTGGCCGCGTGGCAGCCCTCGCCGTCCATGAGCGGCACGCCCAGGTCCGGCAGCGAGAGCGGCGAGTTTGTCGCCGTGCCCGGCGGCGACTCGTCCTTTGTTACCGAGCATGATGTCTGGAAATGAAGTCGACGACATGAAGGCGGCGGGTAAACTTGTCATTTAATCGGCGCATCACGGGTCACGCTTGCATGTTTTCTTTTCTATTCGTTCTGCTGCTATGATTATCTGACCAGGTATGGCTACGGATGTATCCAGTATCCTGGACGCCACGATATACAACCCCTCTCATATGAATTTCATAAACATCACGACGCTTTTGTAATCAGTACATAGAAACAAAAGTGACCACCTTCTGTCAAGGTGCCGATATCCATTTTTCTTTCTTTCGGATGACTTTCGTCGTCAGTTTTAGCAACATTATTTGCAGTGTATGCCAGATTACTAGGCCACGCTGGAACAGCCGCAGCCTTTGAAACGGATAGCTCGTGGTATAAACGCCTGACGACAAACCGATGCCGAGTAGAGGTACAATAAGGGAAGAAACTGACGGATACGAAGGGCCGCAATCGTAGCAGGTATCCTGTCCAGCTAAAAATTCCGTCCTCTGAACTTGTGCCCTCCTCCTCCGCGACCTCCCCACCTGCCGCCTCCACCACCGCCGCGCCCGCCGCCGCCGCCACCAAACTTGTCCCTGGGGCCGCCGTAGCCACCCCGCTTCATGCGGTCCCGGTCCCTGCCGCCGCCGTCCCTATCGTCGTCGTCGTCAAAGTGGCCGCCGCCGTCCCTCCTGTGTCCCCCCTGCCCGGCCTCATCCTCGAGCCCTGCGGGCGCGGCGACGGGCGGCCTCTCGACCCTGACGGTGGGCTTCTCCATCTTGGGGTCCCAGCGCGGGTGCGCACCCTGCCTGCACGCCCTCCCATCCGGGCAGAAGCCGCAGAGGTAGTAAGGGCACAGCTGGCGCCTCACGTGCTTCTTTGCGCACCTCGGCCCCAGCGGGCAGAAGCCCTGGTCGTAGTGCGGACAAGGGGGCAGCTTGGACTGCGGGTCGATGTGGAGGTACATGCACTCCTCGCCGTTCTGGCAGAAGCCGTGGCGGAGGTAGAAGTTGCACTCGGGCATCTTGCGCAGGTTGTACTCGTGCAGGAACTCGCAGCTGTCGCCCTTCTTGCACAGGCCGCGGAGCCAGTGCTTGCAGACCATGCTGTTGAAGGCCGGGCCGTCGCCCCGCTTGCCGCGTCCGCCGCCGCCGCCGCCGCCCGTAAGGTTGTCGGGGAGGGAGGGGTCGGCGACGTGGCGCTCCAGGCAGCGCGTGCCGTTGGCGCAGTTGCCGCCCGTCGCGTACACGCGGCAGATGGGCCGGTCGGGCGGCAGGCTGTGCTGGTACGTCTGCTGCAGGAAGGGCGTGAAGGAGAAGCTGTAGTGCGGCGCCGCGTGCGAGAGCATCTGCTCCACCGTCTTGGAGACGCTGGTGGGCGCCATGGTGGGCGGGCTTGGCTTTGTCGCCACGCCGCCTGGGGGGAGAGTGATGTTATCGGTGGGTCGCTCGCTCGGTGTGTAGGATGTATGGAGTGGCCTGTATTTGTGTTTTATTTTGCGCTTGAGTTCGGTGGGTGTTTATTTTCAAGGCGCGGTGGACATCGTTGGTGGTGGAATGAATCGCTTTGCTGGAGCTCCGAGTTCCAAGTCGCGATCCGACCCCAAACCTCAAAAGCTCCACGCTCCGCCAGAGCGCCAAAACGCCGGTTGCTTACATAATACATAATCGGCTGAGCTTCCAGGTCTCCTCCCAGTGGCGCCTTCCCATTCCTTTATCACCCATCAACGTCGTTCACGATTTGGGAACAACATTCCAGGTCACGGAAGCTATTCTCCCAACTCAATCGGCTCCCGCGCCATCTTTTCTCTTTGCTGGGCCACATACCCACGGCAATGCACTTGATAATATAGAAGCTTCTCAATCGAGAATTATGGCCAGGACCAAAGACACCCAACTCCCCAGACAACGCTAGAACATGCCCAAAATATGCCTAATGCAAACGCCACCGCCACAACCGTTACGCATACATGTTCGTTGTTTCTCATGACTTCGTAACCACCAACAGCTCTGACACGCAAGCGCCGGTACGTACCGCGCCTCTCCCTGACTGCCGCACGCCGCCGCCGCCCTACCCGCCCCCGGGCTTCTGCGCGTACCAAAAGTACGTGTTGACGTAGCGGTGCCTCGACCTGTCCTCGAGCGTCTTGCGCACCTTGACGAACCACAGCTCGGCCTCGACGCGCGACATGTCGAGCAGCTCGAGCGGCTTGGCGAAGCTGGGCAGGACGTCGTAGATGACGTGCTTCATGGTCTCGCCGATGCGCTGCAGGTGCTCCCCGCGAGCCCACGGCCCCACGGGCGTCTTCTTGGCCACGCACCTGACGCCCGTGTAGCCCGCTTCAGTCAGGTGTTGGCCCATGTTGCGCTGGCAGTGCAGGTCCATGCCCCCCTTGGCGAACGCACGGTGGACGAGGTCGAGGAAGGAATAAAGGTGGTCGTCGTCTTTCATGGTGCCGTCGTCGCATTTCGGGATGAAGTGTGTGTCTTGTATCTCGATCCAACCGCCGGGTTTTGTGTTTCTGAGGTGACGAGCAATGCCTTGTTAGTTCATCCTAGGGTATAAAAGTGAAAAAAGGGGCAAATGGGCCACAAACTCAAAGCATCTCGCCATTGTGCCCGGGACATCTCTCAGCATTCCCACCACAAAACGTAAATGTATCAAATCCCAACCCGAGCCGTTCAGCCATTCTGGATCCTCGACATCATCTACCAAGAACCGCGCGCTGCATGACAGCAAGATGGGTTAGCTAACGTATCCACACTACTTTCCGCGCAGGACATGGCGCGATCCGACACGTACTTTGGCGGAACAAGGTCCGGCTGCATTGCTGACAGGTCTGTTCCAAGAACTTCTGAACCAGGATATTCATCCGCGACTAAAACGACAAGAAAAGAAATCACGAAGTTAGCAATCTTTCGGGCTAGGCTGATGACAGCCCCTGAACATGCCCGATCTTCCTGACCCACCATCTATTGCCCAAGCTCCTAAAGGACAAGACTTGTATTAGCACAAGGTCGGCTAACCGCAAAAAAAAAAAAAAAAAAAAAAAAAAGGAATAGGAGCCAACTGCCACAGCGCCAGCTGACAGAACAGAGGGAAGCGAGCACTTACCGACGCCAGTACCAATGTCGAGAATTCTCTCAGGCGTGTCTCCTATGGGAGCATAAAAAAGCTTTCCTCCCTAGACCAAGCGGTCAGGACCGTTCAAGGCTTGCAAGAAACACAAGAAATGCTCACTGCTAATTCCAGCATCATATAGTGCTTCATTATCTCTCTAGAGGGGGTGAGCCAGGGAACCGCAAGAGCTTGAGGCTTGTTTTGAAGTCCAGATGCAGCACTGACCTCGATTGCTCGTCCTCGTCGTTTGGAAGAGGATATCGGCCCTTGTTGTACATGTGGTATCTCCGCCCGTTTTCGTAATGGTGCTCCTCAGGGGCGCTGTCGAGGCTATCCCAAGCCTGGATCGGATCGCCGCTGCTGCTGTTGGTTCCCGCTGCCTCGAGAGAGCTCGCCGCCCTGGAGGCGGCCGAGGCGTCTGACATTTTGACCTTGGTATAATCGCTATTATTCTCCTGGGCGTCTCGGCGTGGTGGCTTGCTAGGATTCTGGCACGTCGACATCACTCCAAGGGACCCAACAGGCGCGGGGTGGGCGCTCCGCGACGGGGTATAAGAGTTTTTTTTTTTTACGGCAAGCAGGTCAGGTTGGACACGAAGCTAGTGGCTATTGCCTGCCGTGGGGAAGATAACATTGATTGATGGGAGAAAGCACATGTGCGGTGAGGGGCACTGTGGATGGCGGCAGGCAAGCGTCCCCGCAGATGGTGATGATATGGAAGGACGAGCAGCTCCGATGCTTTGATGCTTTCCCATAAAGAGGGTACCGTTCTAGCAGAATGGAACTCCCGTGGTGGATCGGGCTACCGAGGTGGAGAAGAGAAGGAAAATGTAACGGGGGTAGGAGATGATGGCCCGGTGAAGGAATCGGGCTGCCATGGACGGCTCGGGGAGGAGGCGTCTACATAATATCTTGGATTCCGCTCGCAGCACGTCCCCGAATCGTCGGCGAGGAGGTGAACGGCGGGCATTCCATCCCCCATCCACGTTTGATGACGCTTGGGGGGCGACATGGGAACCCAAGCTTCCGGGCCTCACTGGGGCTGCATGGGGCTGCATGGGGCTGCCAAAAGAGGTCAAGGAAAGCATGCGTTGGGGATGGATGGTCATGGATGTCCCGCTCTCTCCACCGCTCGCCGACCAGGATGCCCAGTGACTGGACGGAAGACGCCGCCCCCCACCTGGAGCCTTGGACACCACCTATTCCAATTTGTGTTTTTACGCCCTTGAGCGCGGCACAGCGCAAAAATTTAGCCGTATTTGGTACGCAGGCCTGGATGGGGTCCACTCCCAAGTCAGGGCTCGACCGCTTACCTCTTAGGACCCTATCCAGTCTTGGCAGTAGATCTGGATGGATAATGAGGGCACCCATCACCGTTTTTTTATGGCCTGGTTGGGCATATGTGCGTCTAGTGCTGCTGCGGGCGTGTTGATCTCGATGTAAAATGCCAAGGCAGCTAGACCAGGTACACAGGTAGATAGCATTGTTGGAAAGGGACCATAGTGCCGGAGGAACGACGGGGAGTGAAAAAGTTTCAGCTGCTGGCAAGAAAAGACAGGTCAGAAACAAAACAAAAATGTGGTGCGCCGCCTCCATGCCATTGGTGCGGGTCCCGAAATGGGGCTAGACGGTTGAGGGGGTGAAGTGAAGGGAGCCGTGCGCCAGGCTCGTGGATATCGGAGGGCCCAGGTGACAAGCGGCGCCTTGCTGCCCGGCACTTTTGCTGACAAACAACCATGGATGCGGAACCAACTGCACCCTGGCCGAACCCGGTCCGGCGGACCGGGTCGTCCACCTGCAGGGAGGGTAGACCGGCTGGCCAAAGGTGCAAAGAAAAAGGAAGGACGACAGAAGGAAAAGAGAAAAAACAAAGACAGAAAAGATGCTTAACCGCGAAGGGGGGGCGGGGGGCGCGCTTGCTGGCAGGATTCAAGATTCCAGGCGCCCCAGCTGGACACACACCGGTCTGGACGGTCTCCAATCCGCGAATTGATCGCTTCCTCCCTCCATTGCGCGCAGGAGCATTGTCTGATTGCACATACCCCTCCCTCATGCCGGTGCGACTTCGCGATTGAGGGGAATCTATCTGGTGGAGTTTCTAGGTTTGCTGGGGTGCTGTTGTTTGGGTCGGTGGATAAGACAACTGGGGCTAATGTCAACAAACGTGGCCCGCCCCCAAAGGGCCAAATCGTCCATGGTTCGGCACTGCGCGCTTGTCTGCCATCTGATGTCGTGCGCTCGCTCGTTCTCCTCGCCGCCCCACTGTCCGTGGCCGTGACTGGGATTATCTGGGTCGGCTGGTCATGGCAGCACAGGGGATGAGGGGTACAGTACATGTCCTCTTCAGGGATCGTGTCTGGGCGGGTGTTTTTTTTTCTTTCCCTCTCATGCAGTCCCCTCCATCTGACTCTCGTGTGTCCATCACTCACGGCACAGCCTGTCAGGCGGCAGTCGATCTGGCCATGAAGAAGATCGGGTTTCGGTAAACCCATCACGGCCGAGCTAGAGTGCTACGCACTACATCGGCCCAGTCAAGCCACCACGTGTCGTTCACCTTCCATTCCTTTGCGTCGACACAGGCGCCAGGGGCAAAGACATAAACTTGATTACAGCGTACCGTCCTGCGTCTTTATAGGATGTTATTAATTGTAACATCGCAGCCGCCCATCGCCAAGTCTGGCCAGGGTGGCCAGGGAAAACCGGCGACATCGTGCATATTTCCCCACCTGTGGCTAGTGGAGTCTTGATCTCAGTAAATGGACGAAATACGGGTACATGTCCCATCGCCTCTCGTATCCTATACTTTGCCAACAGTCGGCCATCGAAGAGTGCTGATGCTTGAAATGATGTTAACACGGACAAGCAGCTGCTTGTCTGACGTTTTCAAAATTGGTCGTCTATAAGTTTGTGTGTCAACCGGCCCTCAGGGCCGCCAGAAGGGATGCGCAGCCCTGGGTATAGGACATTTGATCTTGGATGGTCCTGTCTTCATTGCGATTCCTCACATGCTGGCTGCTATTTGGGGTGCTCTCGATATCTGCTTCTGGTTTACCCGTAGTGTCAACCTTCTTCCCAGAACCCCTGATGGATTTCCGTCGCCTGAACTGTACCAGACGCGGTACTGCTAAACCCAATCTATTTGTAGCCGCGCCAGCCGCGCCTAACTACCTGCCTAGGCGCCTCCTTGCCTCGATGGCGGGTACGCTGTGGATACATCGTCGCACAGGTCAGGAGCATGGGGTTATCACTGGATGGCATAGAGATAGGGGAACCGTGTTGTGCACAGAAGATTGGCGCTAGGTAACTAGGTAGTTTCCAAGGCCTGCTTTTTCGACGGTGGACACTGGAGTCTGGTCTCAGGCGGATTCTGCAATCCGGCGATCGTTTGCAATGCCGGAGCAATCTGAAAGCCCCCTTTTCTCCCCGCGAGCCTCCAGACCAGGCACCTACGATATAGCTTCGACCGAGTCAGGGCTTGCTCTTTTGCCTTGTCGCTATACCGGGTAGCCAACACATGGCCGCGCATGCCAAAAGGTGCAGATGAGAAGTCCATAGCAAGCCAGCCGTTGTACGATTCGTAGGATGTACAATAACAGCTATACAATCACGGATTATTTCGCTAGGGTGAAAGCGAGATACCTGTAGGAGGTGTGTGGGCGCAACCAGGCCACCATTTTTCGCCTGAGGCGTCATCCCCGCCTCCCAGCCCCAGCCACGGCGGGTGTCTAATCTGATCCAAAACAACCCACCACCTATGCCTTCCATACCCTCTTGATCCCCTCGGTCAGCCCAACATCGTTGGTCTCGAACTCGTACAGGCCGATGCCGGCAACGATGGTGGCGATGTTGAGGGCCCACATGGCGGCCATGCGGGACTTGGGCACGCGGCGCTTGGGCAGGTAGTCGACAATGGCGACCTGCAGGCCCAGGTGCGAGTGCAGGAGGAGGGCCGAGATGAGCACGGCGTCCATGGTGGGGTTCAGCGAGCCCGCGGCGAAGGGGGCAACCGTCAGCGGCACCAGGCCCGCCGCCAGGAGGCGTTCCGACGTCCAGTGGTATGAGCCGTGCGCCGGAGATGTGGGCGGGATGGGAGCTGGGTCGTTAACTGTACAATGGGGTCAGTTCAGAGCTGCCGTCAGGGGGTTCCAGTGATGAATCCTCCAGCTACGTCCTCGGCCGACTCCATCGTGCTGGGTTGGCGGGCCGAAGACAGGATTTCAAAATCGGGCGGGTGGCGTAGTGCGTACCAGTTCCTTCAACCGTCTCTGTAGGACCAGTGTCGTTAGTAGTCGTCGTCCAAGGCGCATCGCGTTCAGCCTTATACCGAACTTCCCCACCCGCGCAAGCCCATAGTGGCAGCGGGAGGGGTGGTGAAGGGGAGACTCACGGGGGAGCGGGGGCAGTAGGCATCTCCTGCTCGAGGCGTGGAAGGCAGCGGCCTTTGCGCTGTTCTGGAGGAGGGTGCTTCGTGCCGGGGCCGGGCGGGAGGCAGTGGACGACAACAGCGACGGGCCGGCCCGGGTTGTCGCTGACAGCGCCTGCCGCAGCGGACGGGCGAGCGATGCCATTGTGTGGGTTGAGAGTCCGTGTCAGAGGTTCCGCCTTCAATTGGTGGGCAGGGCGGCTGCAGGCTGTCGTCGTCGGCGTCGGCGCAAGGCTCGATTCGGGAAAAGCTGAGTGCTGCCAGGGGACGGAATGACGGAGGTGTTTTGCTCTGCGGCTCGAGCTCGAGGTATTGCCGAGGATGAGTATCGGAAGCTCTGTGATTGGCCCAATTCGCTGATGCCTGGAATTCCAGGCGTGAAGCAGGTGAACCCCCCATCTAGCATCTGGGGTTGGTAGTGTCACATGACCGCGTGATGCCTGCGAAGCCAGCTGGTACGCTAGCCCCCCGCCAGTGCGCGCAGCTGAGTCCTTGTCGCGGCTGCGGTTCCACTGTCTCCCGACTTAGCGAGCCAATCAACGACTTTTTCGCACAAACTTTCAAGAATTATTTCGAGATCGTCTTTTGCTTGGATTTTGCCGGCTGAGCTTCAACCTCGCGGGCGCTTGGGAGCGCTGCTGCCATTCCTTGTTGCAAGATGCTGCGAAACGTTAATAGGAGGTTGTCGTCCATGGCGCAGGCTTCGTTACATCGACGAAACCTGTCACGGCTACCACCGCCGGGCTGCTTCCGATGTTCTTCACCACAGACGGCCAGTTTTTCAGGGAGCGCATGGAGATGCGAGTCCAGGTCGATAAAATACAAGGAAAAGATGCGACTAGCCCAAGTGGAATGGGATCTCAGGGCGGAAAAGATCAAGGATGGCACCGAGACGGGTCTTTGGGATCTGCTTGAATCACGCGGCTTCATCAAGGATGTCGCTGGGTACGTTGCCCCTCGGCGGCACGCCCGCGAGAGAAGGAGATCGGACAGCGCCCCGTGCTGACTACCCTCGCCACGGCAGAAACCGCGACCATATCCGCGAGCTCATGAGAGTTAAGCGTATTGGGGGCTACGTCGGCATCGACCCGACCGCCCCGTCGCTCCATGTCGGCCACCTCGTACCCCTGATGCCGATATTCTGGATGTACATGCACGGGTACAGGGCTGTCACGCTACTGGGTGGTGCCACAGCAAAGATTGGTGATCCCACGGGCCGCCTCAAGGACAGGAACCCCAACGGCAGCGACTTCGCCAAGAACATGGCGTCGCTGCATTACCAGCTGAAGCGCATGTGGGTCAATGTCGAGGCGCAGGCTCGCCAGTACGGCTTCGAGCCGGACTGGGCCTGGCGTCGGGACCTCGTCAACAACAACAGATGGTGGAACAAGCAGCCGATGCTAGAGGTCCTGCAGAGGCTGGGCCGGCACGTCAGGGTCGGTCCCATGCTCTCGAGAGACATGGTCAAGCGGAAGATGACGGAAGGCGACGGCTTGTCTTTCGCCGAGCTGAGCTATACCCTCATGCAAGGCTGGGACTTCTTTGAGCTGAACAAGCAGATGGGCATCCAGCTGCAAATCGGCGGCTCCGATCAGTTCGGAAACATCGTGGTGGGAATTGACGCCGTCAAGACTTTGCGGGCCAGCGAGAATTTGTCGGTGCATGACGACAGATTTGGCGAGGGCCCCATGGTCAACCCCGTCGGATTCACGGTCCCACTGCTTACCAACTCGGACGGCGAGAAGATCGGCAAGTCTTCTGGCGGAGGGAATATGTGGCTGGACGTCTTCCAGACCCCTGCCTACGATCTCTATGGCTACTTTGTCCGCCAACCGGACGCCGACGTGGAGAGGTTGCTCAAGCTTCTGACCTTTATCCCCAATAAGGAAATCAGCCTTCTGATGCGGGAGCATGAGGCGGACCCGCGGGAGAGGGTGGCACAGCACAAGCTTGCCTTTGAAGTCTTGACCCTTGTCCACGGCGTAGAAGTGGCCAGGCGTGCCAAGAATGACCACGCCACTCTACACGGAAAAGACTCGACCCCGATCCAATTCACCCACGATCCCGAAGTCCATGCGACGCCCACCAACATGGCCGGCAGCATTCAAATGCAGCTGCCCAAGTCGCTCGTGGAGCAGGGCAACGTTGCGCGCATATTGTTTGCCGCAGGTCTTGCTTCCAGCGTCAGCGACGGCAACCGGCTCGCCATACAGAAGGCCGTGTATATCGGTGGGCGCCCTGGCAAGGCCCGAGGACCGATGAACAGTGGGCAACTCGACTTCAAGCCCGTCTCTCTCTGGTTCCCCCAAGAGACACAACAGTTCATCGTAGAAGAAAAGCTCTTGATCCTCCGCAAGGGAAAGCACAGAGTCAGGATCATCGAGCTCCTTACCGACGAGGAGTACGCCGCATCCGGGCAGACGTACCCCGGCCAGCCCGGCACCGGAAGGCTCAGGGCGGTGCGGAATGATATGAGGGCGCTCACCGAGGCGCAGAATTCTTTGGCAGCGGAGATCGATGAGGGGAAAGCGAAGGATGCCCTCTCGGGATTCTCTACTGAGATGCTCTCGCTGGCCGACAGGGTCTCGGATCTAAGGAAGCAGCTCGACTGGTCCAAAGAACACTACAACAGTGCCAAGCATAACCCGACCAGTTCCCCGAAGGCTGTGGGCCTCAAGATTCACCGGTTGGAGAAGCAATACGAGAAGTTGAAAGAATCAGAGGAGCTCTTGAAACGCAAAACATGGGAGGGCTGGCCGGAGGAGGACACATCCTCGGACTCGGCAACGAACAAGCATAGTTAGAGGACACGTGTGGGAGACCTTGTACTTGGAACCGATCATGGCTTCTCGCAAGCATCTGTAAAAACAGCTCCCATTTTTATGTATCATAGAATTGCATAGACTGCGAGACATGTGCCACGTGTTCGATTCAAGAAACACACAGCATCTAGCGGTAGAAGACGTTCAGGTCGCCCTGGGGCAGGGGCAGGTTTTTCAGCCTCTCCATGATCTCGGCATCGGAGAGGTTCTGCTCTGTGATGATCTGGTCGAAACAGTGGCGGCCGTCGGTGTATTGCTGCAGCGGGTCCCCGCGCGGGCCAAAGACTGCGCCGCCGCCGCCGCCGCTACCACCGCCACCACCGCCACCGCCACCGAGGCCGTCGGAATCAAAGGGCCGGGCCTGGCCGGTGGCCAGGGCGGCCAGGTACTGCTTGGAGACGGCGTACTTGTGGACGCGGTACAGGTAGCCCTTGATGACGCCGAACTGGACGAGGCGGCGCACGTCGACGAAGCGCAGCACGTCCAAGCCCGCGTCCATGTGCGCCTTGAGCCACTCCATGACGGTGCGGCCGGCGCAGAAGCTGGCCATGAGGCGGACGAGCAAAAAGTTGCTGACGCGCGGTGGCGTGCCCGGGTGCGAGTGGAGGAGGTGCTGCTGCTGGTGGAAGTGGCTGTGGAGGTGCTGCGGCGGGCGGTGCGACCCGACAAAGGTCGCGCCGCCGCCGCCGCCGCCGCCGCCGCTCGCTGTCGACATTGCCGAGACGGAGGGAATTCGGGGTAGGCCGGACGCAGAGGGGCCGCCGCCGCCGCCGCCGCCGCTCACGCCCAGGGTG